GCATTTACATATTTTATTTTTCAAGGTACAGACACCTGCAACTAATTTCATGTAGACAGACTCAAAAAGATGTCTAGAAGACATGAGGAAATAGACACAATTTCAGGAAGTTAAGCTTATGTGCAATGGCAAATGCAATGCCTGCCTCCACCCAAGCAATCTCCTCTGAGAAAATGTTTGTGGGCAACAAAGGAACGAGGAAGCGAAGTCTTTTATGCTTCCCACTCTGCAGAGTGGTAATGGCTTCTTCAAAGCAGGAGAAACTTCACCCGGTCACCTAAACTGTGATGTGCCCCATTGTACAACTGAAAAGCTTTTAAAATACTGGAACATTCCCACTTAAACAAATCGATGTGGCTGTCATCTTACCAAATTAACAATGTGTTTTTGCACTGGGAGTCCACAGGATTTTCTTTTGCTTTGCTCCTACACCATCAGGAGCAGTGGTCACAGTGAGCATGGCTTACAGCAGTGGCTGTTGTCAGCACACACAAGTCTGAAACATGCACACTGTGAGGAGTACCCATAAAACGGGCCTTGAACTTTCACCTGTCAGAAGCAGACACTTGCAAACTCAGCTGAACACAACAGATATGATCACAATAGCCTTCATCATTTTGTCCTCTACTAATAAGAACCTCATTGCAGCAGCTGCTTTGGCTGTAACCAGTGACTTCACTATGTTTAGCCTGCATAAGCATGATTCCCGAAAACTGAAATGAAGCAGAGACTGATGGGGCACATTTGCTGTGATGCTCCACGGCACCAAAAGAACAATGTTTGAAGTTTTCTGACTACTGCCTAATAAGAAATAATTCCATTTTGTTCTCCAGAGCCCTGCTCTTTGATATCCTGATTTTCATAGCCCAGGTTTTGTCACAATACTGCAGTAACATTTCAATGGAGGCATGGAGACTGTTTAAAAAAATAATAGCAAACTATTTCTGTTTGTCAGTAGTCCTTTCTGTTTCAAGCAGAATGGGTGCCCTCTGCAGGTAACTTACTTTCTACTGAGATTTTTGGATGTGTGCCCTCTTTTAGTTCTGCTTGTCAAGGTGTTGAGGACTGATCAGCACTGCTTTGTTTTCAAGTGGATATTGCACTGCTCACTGCATACGTGGGCAAGCAAACAGCACATGGGTGTGCCAAACAGTTAGTTTGCTTCTGAGTGTGATTTTTTTTTTCTCTGAAGAGTGTGTGTGGCCAAGGAAGGGAGGGAGAGGAGGAGTTGTAAACCTTTTCCAAGCAATTTGACAGTGGGTTTTTTATTTTTTTTTTATTTTCAATGGCAAGAAGATAACTTAAAATAACTATAATGTTATGCAGTGTAGAAATCAGCCACTTGAATACAGGGATAGAATGAACAGGCAAAAAGGGTGCAGTGTAAACACTACTGAAAATCACAGAATGACAGGGCTTGGCTGGGACCTCGAGAGACTGAGTCCAACCCCTTGCTAAAGCAGGTTGCCTACAATAGGTTGCACAGGGAGGTGCCCAGATGGGTCTTGAATATCTGCATAGAAGGAAGGTATTCTGCTCATCTTAAAGACATCGGTGTATATTCCCCCTTAATTTTTCTCTTCAGTCATGCCTACACACATATTTTTCAAGTCCTTTCAGTGGACTGCATGAAGAGAGAACAGTATGCCTGAGTCAGCAGTGCTATGAGGTTTCAGCTCCCAGCTCTATAACATGCAGTTCTGCACAGTGACACTGATAGCGTGGGAGAGGAGATAAATGGAGATGGTGGTGATGACTAGGCTGCACCTGACACCATGTTGGCTCGAAGTCAAGCCTAGCAGCTGGGCAGCAGCTAACAACATGGCAAGACTGGAGAGCAAAAGAGGAGGTGGGGACCAGCCAAGACTTTCAGCTGTCTGTCACTTCTGGAGAGTGACACCTGTAAACATGGTGGCAGATGCTAAATATAAAGGTGTGAGGAAATAACTGCAAATTTAATCTGAATGTGTATGTTCTTCTCTCTCCTCTCTCCCATCACTGCAGTGACCATCTCTTGGTTGAGCACAACGCTTCATCTCATCCCAAAATGCTGTTCTGGCACAGTCAGCCTGAACATTATCACCATCACCAGTATCCCACCACTAACAGCAGCTACCTGCGGTAAGAAAATAATGACTGTGGGTAACTTTAAATAACAGCAGTTATAACTTGATAGCACCCAATAATGTAGTCTGTGCAGCCTCTGCTAATTCACAAGCTTCATGTAGAGTTGGTGACTGTAGACCCACTGATAAACCTTTGTGCAGTAGAGTCACTGTAGTGGAGATTTACTTTACTACAGCTTCATGATCTTCACAACTGTGCCACCCTACATGTGCTTGCAACAGCACTGGAACGTCTAAATGCTTTATATGATATCCACAGATGTCTTAACTTTGGCTGTTCCTTTTTGAAATTCCATTAGCACTCCTTGAAATTCCATTAGCACTCCAAAGGTAACACTCTTGTTTATGTGAAGCCATACAGACTTAGAAGCATCTCCATGCTTCACATGTAGTTTCAAAAATGCATTTTACCTATTGAAGTTCAGTTGATGTGCACATTTGGGAATACAAGCCCCTTGCAGCATCAGGGAGGACACAGTGGTTAAACACTCTGCACTGAAATCTGATGCAATATATATCTAATTGCATCAGTGTATCCCTATGAACTTACCTTACCTCTTCATGACTGAAGTATTGTTTGAGTACAAATAAGTGCTATTTGTGTACTAAAATATTATTTGTGTACAAACAATTGTGTACAGCTTTATTTGTATTCGAATGCTTCTTAAAAACGATTTTGTTTTAACAAGAGCAAAGTTCATAGATTCCAGGTAATCTTGAGTTTGACTTTCAAATTATAACACGGCTTGCTCTCTATGTTAAACTTCAGCTTATTACTTCTTCATTTAATACCATGTGTATAAACACGACAGTGTTTAATCTACTTTTTTATAGGCACCCCTTGTTGGTAATCCTGGTATTGTATCACAGTATCACACCTTTTCTTGTAGAATTGTGAGGGAGCATGTTCTTACTGAAGCATGCCGAGTTGCAGGTTTGAAAAATGCAAAGAAATGAAGTGATTTTTATGTTCTGATAACTCCAAGTGTTAAACTAATGAAATTTATAGTGGAGTTTATCATTCCATTACAACACAAAGGTCAGGGTGATGTGAAATACAGATTGGCTGACACAGATATATTGCAAACACAGTGCTGTTTCTACTGACTCAAGCAATAAGTGAGAAATGAATAGGTGCTGGAATTTCCTCATGCAGCTTGCAAGCGACATGCATAGCTCTGCAAGAGGAACCATATAGCAAGTAACAGTGAAGACATCCACTGCCACCTCTGGTTTCAATCCATTCTTCAGTGCTGTTAAGCCCAGGGGTGGTGTTTACTTGAGCTCAGGACCACATTCTCTCTGGGATCTTTTTCACTGTGTCCTTATCTGTCTTTGTTTCTCCCATCATATTTATTTCTGGCGTTCCCACACTATTTCAAAATCTGCCACCCAAGCCCCTCTGAATTTACTTTTCCACACACGTTTGAGCACGTGCCTTTGGTTTTGGTGGCAGCACCCACCTGTGTTTTGATATTGAAATACCACATATGTGGGGTTTTTCCATAAATTAAGATCTGTACATAGAAGTTAATGAGGTAGGCCCTTGAGGCTGATGACCTTAAGCAAAAGGGATACAGACCAGTTCAGATAGTAGGCTTCAGCCTGGTCATAATCACAAAGATGTCTGGTTCTGTCAGATCCTTTACCACGAGTCAGTCCCACATCTGTGTGTCAGTAAGGCTTATATAGAAACAGCAGCTGACTTAGGGGAAGGATGTTAGCACTAAGTGGGGAGCAGATGGAGAAAGGAATGTCTCAGGATCTTTTCTTCCCTCCTCTGCCTCCTCCCACATGCCATTACAGCTGTACTTAAAACGCTCCTATGCAGATAAATCAGCCTCCTGCTGTGTGCACTTGACCTGTGTTGTATTTCAAGCTTACAATTACAACTGGTGAGTCTGGGCTCAGGGTACAACCTCTGGTGGAGCCTGTCTTGGGAACACAGTTAGAAGAAAGAGTTGCTTGAGGAAACCCACTGGTGTTAAACAAGAGACTGCTTTTGAAGCCCTGAGACCTCCTAAGATGGTGACAAGAATGTGCAGAAATGGAATGGTAGAGGCACAGGAAAAAAAATATCATCTATGACAGGTTAGGGTTGTGGGTTTTACCTGCTCCGAGTATTAAAGAAGCAATTTGAGATCTCAAAATGTTTAAGTCCTGTTTTACACTATTTTACCAGGCAGGTGAAAAGTTTAGAATGATTTTTATGTTGACAAGTTGGGGGGAGGAAAAAAAACCACGTCATTTTATAAGTTTACAGAATCTTCTGTCCCATGAGCTCTGCTCTCAGCCTTACTGAAGAGCAAATATTTATAATTTGGGCATCAATTCTGCAATCTCATCCTCAAAAAATGCTCTTTTGTCTAACTTGAGGAACTCTGCATGGAGCTTATATTGCTTATATTGCAGAACAGGCATTGTGTTAAGAAAAGGGCTTACACAAAGCACCATATCTGCATTGGATGTGGCTTTTCAGTGGTTTTTTTTGTGGTTAAATCCACTGTAGTTTTGCGTGGATTATATAGCAGTAAAAATGTGACAACTTAAATTATTGCTTATAAAGAATACTGTTATGCTTGCAGTAAGCATCTGCCTTCAACTTCAAATTAGACTTGAAAATTGCTTGAACTCAACTCACCCTGAGTATATGGCCAATACCTATGTTTAGGAAGAGACTGACAGAAAGATTATGGCTTAGTCATTGTTGTTGTTTTTCAATCGTTGTTTTTAATGTCAGTGAAATGAACATCAAAACTGTTCTTGAGGTCTCTGGTTGAAAATGCTACCTACCTAAAGATATTTTAAACTCTTTTGGCAAAAGCTGAGAACTCTGTACAGTAATTACAAATGCTAGAGATTTATGTTCAGTACCTGAGCTGATACAGCTTCACATGTTGGGGTTTGATAGATCAGGCTGGAAAGTGGTGTTTGTAGGCGCTGCTGATCCTCAGCAGATGATGTGAGAAAGGAACAGACCAAGGAACCTGCCCCAAAGAAAGCAAATGCATCAGAGGTCTGTACTTACAAGCAACAGAATCCTCTCAAACATGTACACAGTCATAAACCGACACTGAACACTGGTTGCAAATGACCCAGGGATAGAAATAATGCTATAGGAAAAAAAAAAAGACAAGGATTACAGTATTTATTATTTAATAGAGGAAGGTGCTTTGTATCCTAAAATACCCAAAGATAATATTTTCAGAATACTAGCAGTCCATTTGCTTATCAAAGGCAAATTTTATCCAATTGTTAGAGGCTGGGCTGCAAGAAAATGGGTCTTACTGTACCCACCCACAATGCCCTCAGTTATTTTGAATTTACATCAGCAGAGAACAATTCCTGGTTAAAAATAATCATCAATTTATGCTCTTGTGACTGCTGTGTAACTATACTCAAGTGGAGTAAGCAGATAAACCAGTTTTGCTATACATAAATCATTTATCTCTGACTGTCAGAAGTAGACAGTTCACCACCCTTAGCTTTCTGCAAGCTACCAATTTTGTATAACTTCTTAGAAAAGTATTTTTCTTCCATGTTATTTATGCTATTTCTCTTTCTTATGGGGCTCACTTTACATCTACAAACGTCTGCCTAGAAAAAGTTTGAATTCTCAATTTAAAATCTATAAAATCCCATAAAACTCACTAAAATTAATAATGCTATTTTTGTCATCCATCTTTAGAAATGAAAAAGAAAGGGGGCAGAGGAATAACTGTTTGTTGTTTTGTTTTCTTCTCAGGTTTAAAAGTGGTATTTTGCCAGCAATATTTGCAGTTCTCGTCATAAAGAGCAGTAACTTGGGAGCTAGTGCTCATGTTAATAAGAAACTTGGGCTCACACCCTTTTCATAAATCTTTCTTTTGTCAGCTGCTGCTTTGTCTGTCCACAGGCAGGCAAGGAACACTTAAATCAATTACTGCAGCAAAAATACCACTACTGTTGTGTACAGAAATAGGCAGTCAAGTCTTAAATTTCCATTCACCTTTAGGAATCAAGAGTAATGCTCCGTGCGCTTCTCTGTAAGGATGTCATATGTACCTTCTGAATCAACAACGGATATTATTTTATTATTAGTGCAATTAAGGCCCTACTGAGTTTTGAAAAACCCATGCAACTGTACTTAGAGCAGGTTGATATACGACTGTGTTACAGAATCATAACATACCCCAAGTTGGAAGGACCTACAAGGATCACTGAGTCCAACTCCTGGCTCCACGCAGGACCAACCAAAATCAGCCCACATATCTGATTACACTTTACAGTCTCAGTGCTTTACTACAGATTGCTCAGTAGGTGAATCATTCTAATAGGACTTCTCAAAATATTATTTAATAATCCTCTGAACGATTAACATTTGAGTTTTCTAGAGTCGTGGGCTACTCAATTACCATCCCCTCAGTTGACCAAATATTTTAGGTCAGAGGGAACGACATTAACCAGTTCTTCCTTGCGTCCCCACAGCCTTCTCTAACTGCTAGACTGTTGTAATATAACAACCATTTATTAACTGCTTTGCTACGTCTTGGATAATTAGAAAAACAGCATAAAATCAAGCTATTTTATGTAATAACTCCATATTCCATAACGACAAACTTCCTGCCTGCGGGTGCTGTGTGATTTTGTAACAACTCTGAACCCAGGAGGCAGAGCTGTTAAGGATTTCTTTTCCCGCAATGCTTATTTATGGCACGTTACGTATATAGCGTGGTTTCTAGTTTTGTGTGCTGTAGGCATTGTGTGAACTTTTTGTTTTACAGTCCTCAGTACCACAGCGAGCCCCACCCGTTTATGCGGCCCCGGCTTCCAGTTCCTCATGCCGGCTTTCTGCTAAAGGCCACGCGCCCGGACGCCGACTTCCACTCTCTCACAGCGCAACCTCGAGTCGAAACCCACCGCCTCTCAGGGCCCTGACCTCACTTCCGGTCATTTCCCTTTCCGCTTCCGGGAGGCCACTCCCGGCATGCAGCGCTCCCATGGCGCGAGGGAGGGTGGAGGAAGAAGCGCGCCGGAGCAACCGCGCGCCGGCCCGAGGGCGGGGCTGCTCCTCCGTGACGTCTTCCGGTGTCGAGGAATCGCTCCCTGATTGGCCGCGCCGCCCCCTCTTCTCTCCCCGCTCCCCTCCGATTGGTCCTTCCGCCGCGGGTCAGCCAATCGGCGGCCCCGATAGCGGGCGGGCCGCGCCCCGGCAGCGGCGCCTCGGGGCGGGGGGCGTGTGTGGAGGAGGCCGCCATGTTGGCGTGAGCGGCGGCGCGGCGCGCGGGTGGCTGCAGGCGGGAGCGGCGCGCGGGGGCCCCCCAGGGGCGGCCTTCAGCGGCGGGCGCGAGGCGGCGGCGGGCCGCGGGAGCCCGCGCTGCAGCTGCTGCCGCCCCGGCGAAGGATGCGGCGGGAGGCGCCGCCGGGCCGGGTCGGTGCTCGGACGGCGGCCCCGACGGGTGTCCGGTCAGGGAAAGAGGGGAAGGGGGAGGAGGAGGCGGCGGCCGCCGGGTCCCCGGCCCCCCTCGGCGGCCGGGCGGCCGCAGGATGCTGAGGGCGGCCCCGCGCCCCGGTCGCGCCGCGGGCGAAGGGCCCCCCCGGGGCTGAGCGCGGCCGCTCCCCCGCCCAGCACGCGTTTCTCCGTCCCGCCCCGGCTCCGCGCCGCCCCCCCGGCCCCTCTCGCTTCCTCCCGCCCCGCGCCGCCCGCCGAGACGCCGCCTCCCGGCGGAGGCTCCGGGGCCGAGCGACTCCTCCCCGTCCGGCTCCTCCCGCGGCGCCGCGGGAGCGCGGGGGGCGGCGGAAGATGGCGTGGGTGCTGAAGATGGATGAGGTGATCGAGTCCGGGCTGGTGCACGACTTCGACGCCAGTCTCTCCGGCATCGGGCAGGAGCTGGGAGCCGGCGCCTACAGCATGAGGTGCGCCCGGGGGACGGGCGGGGGCCGCGGGGCCGCTCTGCGCGGAGCGAGGCGGCTGCTTCGCTCCTTTCTTGCTTCCTTCCTTCTTCCCACCGTGCCTCCTCCTCCCCTCGGTTTCATTTCCCGCACCCCGAGAGCTGGCACGTGGCAGGGGATGCCCTCTGGAGCTCCCCGGCTGCGGCCCTGCCTGCCGTTCCCGTCCTGAAAACGCCGTTTTCCTGCCCCTCGGCTTTGCGTTGCCCCTATTCCAGAAAACAGTTCTCGGTTCTGGTTCTGCGGTTGTAGTTTGCAGTGAACCGTAGCTGCGTTCTTTCTAACGTTTCGGAAGCGTTCTTTCCTGAGCGACCAAACGCTGTGGCTGTTAATTGGGTAGTAAAATGGCTGTACTTGAGTCACTCTGTTTATTGTTTCATATTTACGTGTGGAGTGGGTCTCTGGTGACCTCCATTTTTTCTTCCACTGCCGTGCAGCTCTTCCTGTTGGAGCTCAGCAGTTTCTTCTCTTGATCGTTTTCCAGGTTTTACAATAGAAGTATTTAAGCAGTCTCAGGGTGTGCTTTCCAAAGTTAAAATGAAACGGTACCTGTTAGAAATAAAGTATGTTTGAACTCAGCTGTGGGCAGAGCTGCTCGGTCCCTATGTAACTCGTTAGTGCTGAAAGGGGAACTATTTTGAGAGCTTTGATTTTGGGAATCTTTCAGTCTAAGGCTTCGGTCACGTAACTCAGTGTTTTGAATCTTGCAGAGGTGCAAAATGCTGGCGCTGTTACTTTTGATGGCCAGACTTGTTTGAGAGGTGTGCTCTCTCCCATGGTTACCTGAAACTTGCCCTTCCCCCCCTTCCTCCCCACACTCTTTGGGTTGAATTTCTCAGGTGAGGTGCTGTAACTGAGATATCTTTGTTTGAAGTTGGGGATTGGGGTTTCAGCTGAGCAGGAAGGAGGGCTGTTGTGCTGGCATCTGGGTTGTGTGCTCAGCAGGTGCCACATGCACCATGCATTTGATTTTATTACTATTGTTAAAATTAAAGCTATCTTTGAGAACTTGTCAATTCATGGAAGCAGGTGATTCACCTCCTTCAGTGAGGATACTCACGAGTGTATATTCAGCTCTTCTGGATGGTTTTTCTTTCTCTGTTCCATTTCTGTCTGTGCCAGGCGGTCACCAGTCCCCCAGAACAGTGCAGGTCATTGAGGCTGTCTGGCAGCTGCCTGGGTGGCTTCTCACCATTCACTTTCTGTTTTATCTTCCTCTCATGCAAACAGTAATTGATAACACTTGATAACACTCGTGTCTGTTAAAGAGATGTGCTTCGTTCTTTACCATGATGCCGTTCTTTCTCGGTGTTTTAGGATGAAAATCCCCAGGTTTGAATGAGAGAGTTTTTTAAGGATTTCCTTTTCTGTGTTTAGAGTTCATTTCTTCTCCTAATAACACACGCTGCTTGGTTCCTTTAAACTTTACTTTTGATCCTCAGTGATGTTATGTCATCCTTTTTTGTTGTTGTTGTTATATTGGCATTTCTAGTTTACTTTCAATTACATAGAAAGAGTTTTAGCAGTCAAAAAAAACCTCACAGAAAGTAATGCTGGATAAGTGGAGTTGTACGTTAATTTTAAATGTAATATTGTCCTCTTTGCAATTCTGATGAGTCACTTAAAAAGTGTTTTGGGAACACGTACTGGTATTTTAACTGAATTCTTTGAACACAAAGGGATCACCTAACTGCAATTAGTATTTGCAGGACTCGGGGATTTGGGCATTTTATGCTTTTCTTACACGTTTTTCAAGTTATACTTGTGGGAAATGGCGGCCTGTTCAGTTGATGGTGATGTCAGATGGGAAAGCTAAGGGAAGTGGCGTAACAGAGTGAAAATGTTCCGGTCTTGGCTCTGTGTGCCAGCAGAAGCTGTGTGCTTGTCACTTCCTTTCAAAAAAGGGTATTAGAAAAATAAATGTTTTCTGGAAAAGAGCACTGGGAGAACTTCTCCAGCTCTATGGCTTTGTATTTTTTAAGGAATGCTTGCATGTGGTCTCTGCTTTACCTGCTCTGGATTGCTTGTAACGTAGCTAATACTTCCTTGGGTTGAGGTGTGAGCCCTGCTGTGGACGTTGTTAGTAAAAAGGCTGCTTGTGAGCACTAATTGCGGGTTTCTGTAAGAGAAACTGGCTGGACACAGCTTCTCTGACAGTTTATCTTTAAACAGTGCTCAGAAGTTCTTTACAGTCTTGAAACTCAGGTTTTCTGCTTTTTTTTTCTTTCTCACTAATTCAGGCCATGAGTGTATAGCCAGGAATTTCAGTGCTTAAAGTACCTTTAGCAGTAGTGGATCTGAGCATTGCTGATAAGTTAAAGTGGCAGAGATGGTGTTGCATAGCAGCACTCACCCTCCTGGTGATTTCCTATCGCTTACCTGGCATAATTATCTGTGTCATTATCTTCATAGCGTAGCAATAATGGATAATTTTGGGGACCACTAATCTCTGGTGTGAACTATGAGAAAATGGAGACTGTATGACTGAAAAGTGAACCTTTAGGAACAACTTGCCATTTCTCTAGCAAAATTCTGTATTTAATCTGAGCGATTTGATGTATTAACTCATTGGTTTAAGTTAAATGAGCACAAATACAAGAAGTACCTTAGTGGCCATGATGCAATTTTATGTATAATTTGGAGGCACAGTATATGGATTTCTTTAAGTGCTTGCAACCCCAGTGGTATTTCTGGTGCAGTAACTAAGGCCTGTCCTGAGGGAACTTGATTATTTCAGTTGTAGCTATTTCAGTATGTATTGCTGGATTAAAAACTAAAGTTTATTAAACTAAATTGAGTATGATCATTCTGACACAAATAACCACAAAAAGAAAAATACCCAGCTGTCTCTCCATTTCTGGGGCATGAGGTTGATTTGACTCTCCTGTCCCCTCAGCAAGCCCAAGGTGTCTGTGGGGAGCTGAGCAGCCATGGCTGGAGGCAGTTGGAAGGCTGCTGCGGGCAGTTTGGTTTTCTTGCTGTGCTGTGGGGAGCTGCCATGAATGCTGAGGGAATGTTGGCCTCCAGGGCTGAGCATGAAGTACCAATGAGGTTTCCTGTGTAGAGTCAGGGAACTGCTACCCTACAGCTCATCGTGTCGCTCTCAAGTGAAAAAGGGGATGTTAGCTCACAGTTTCTGGGTCTCTGATGGGTCATGGCAGTTACAATCCTAACCTTTATAGTCGCTATACAGACAGAAAGAAATTGAGTTCTGTGGTTGAGGCCCGGCTGCCCTTGTGGCTCCTGTTACTTTCTGACAGACAGGATGACTGCTTACCCCATACAGCACCCACTGCTTTGAGATTCTGCCATCGGTTAAAGCTCCTTTTTTAAGAGAAGGGCTGACTTAACGTGCCCCCAGAAGTGTGTTTGTTTTTAAATAGATGCAGTGTTTGCAGCATCACAAGTCAGAAGTCTCACGTTGTAGTAGTGTCTTCTACTTTTATGTCTTTCACTGCAGAAAAAATAATTTTCACTGACCTCGGGACTCTGTAAAATAGAATGTTATGTACTGATCAGCTTTGGAGCCTGATTCTGTGTGCAGACACAAGTTCGTAATTTGTCAGGAAACAGGTATTTGGGGAGAAAGAAAATCCACAGACCAGACCTGAGCCTTTGTTACCACAGAAGACGTTTCTGTTCGCAAGTGGTTTGGTGGCTGTGTTGAAAGATAAATCTCGTTCTCCATCACTGACACTGATTTTTCTTTTTCATTTCTTTCCCCCTCCTCCCTTCTTCCCCCCTCTTCCCCCCCAACTGGATGCACGATAAAAGGTCAACAGAAAGACCTTTTAGCTCCCATGCTTGTATTCAGTGTCCACTCCTCACGATGAACAGAGGCAGGGACTGAGGGCAGGTCTCTTAGAGATGTGTTATCAGCAGTCTTTACACCAGGTGGTGCAGATTGGAGCAGCTACCTGGCCTCCCTGTGTTGGAGAAGAATCAGGGATTTGTGGCTGTACACAGACATTGGTCCACCATCTCCTTGCTTCCATCATGAGGTTAGCAATGCAGGGCTTTTGGTGGTAGCATTATGGTGTGGGTGTCGGACTCCCCATAAGCTGAGGCCTTTAAGCAGTTGAGTTTCCATTGTGAAGGTTTGCAGGATTCCCAGCGCAGCAGTACATTCGCACCTGTTTTCTCATTCATCTTGTGCCATGTCAGAGAAAGTTGTTTCCCAGCAGCTACTGCTGGTGATCTCTTCTTACACTGAATTTCCTTTTCTGGACACAGGGAAGGTATTAGGAAGCGTCAGCCTGTTTCTTTACGTGTTCCTGTTGCTCGTTCAGACACCCTAACAGAGCAGAGCTTAACTCCTATTCAAATAGTGCTCAAGAACCATTTTTCTCAAGGTATTTGCCCTTGTAAATCATGCTTTAAAGTTTCAAAAGAGCTGTGTGTTCTTGGATGCTTTAGTACTCTCACACCCAAAAGCATACAGTCCAGAGACAGATAAGGCAAGTGATTGATGGAGTGTCACTTGCAATTTTGATGACATACTAATTCCTGTTTTTGTAAGGACAGGAGGTGGTTCTTTTGTTTTACGATCATAACAAAAATCAATAGGCAGGATTTTGTGTTCAGAAAGAAGGTGATTTCTGCAGCCAACAAAGGCGTTTCACAAGCATGGGGAAAAAAGTCGTGTTTTTCTTGGCCTTTCTGTCCTTTATATGGGCTACTTCAAGTGGGACAGCTTATCACGTGTGATCCATCTGGGTGCTGTGATGTGCACCTTGCTTCCTCTTGGGTGCCTCACGACTCTTGTGTGGTGCAGCTTCACATATGTGCTTCTCTGGCGTGGGTAGTCCCAGCTGGGTGTTGCAGAGGTGTTTACAGCATGCTTTTGGTGTGTGATGAAGGTTAACTCTGTTTTTCTAGGAATGATTTCTCCTTCCTGTAGAAGGAAAGAGTGCTTTCACTTGAAAGCTTTAAATAACAAGTTGTGAGGACTTCTCTTACTGGAGCAAATAGCTTCAAAAATTGATCTCGGAGTTCCTTCCATCAGGAGAGTAAGCCTTGATAGGTCAGCCGAGATTGTCTGCTTTTTCAAACGATGCTAGGTAAGGCTGGCAGGATAGTGCAGCTTTGTTGCTGTGTTAGACAGCCGGAGCAGAGCTGGTAGAGAAGTGCCTGCTGTTAATCTGCTTTGGGCCAACACTGGTGAAATTGCACCAGGTGAGCGAGTAGAAGCATGACGAAGGGTTATGAAAGTAGAAGGCTGATGCTGGTTATGATGATTTCCTGTGTAAACACGGAGGTTTGGTGATTGTGTTATTTCTTTTAGTCAGCGTGAGAAGGGGAACAGGCATAACTCATCATGCCTGCCCTCGGGTTATGTTTGGCAGGATGGGGTATCTCTATAGTAACATTTTCCACCACACTCAGCTGTATAGCTAGCTGTGTGTTAGGCTGTGCTATGCGCTGATAGAGATCCCTAAGTAGCCCTGCAAAATATTTTGGAGGGGGAAGGGAAAGTGCTGTCCATGTGGCAGGAATTCCTTATGCCAGCTGTGCTTGGAAAACCTGCATTGCTGAACGATGGGCTGTTGAGCATTGAAGGGGATGGGCTGTGCTCAGCTGCTGTGCCACAGTGCCAGAACTGCCTCATTAGAGTGGGACAGAGCTGATTTCTCAGCTCCTTTCTGAAGAGAAGTTAATGGCTGGGTTGCAGTCAGGATGCGTTTCTTTGTCACTGACGCTTTAAAACCTAGATTTGAAGCAGTTTATTGATACCTTATTGACCATCCCCCTTTTATCTCTATCTTTGAATGTGACAACGCTGACATTCCATTCCTGTAGTGAACAAAGCTAAATGTTAATGAAATGGTGTTTCTTTGCCTCTCAGAGGTAGTTTTGAATTGCACTGGCTTCTCTTTTCCTTTGCAACGTGTGGGAGCCCAGAGGACTTTCCTTTCTCAGAGATATGTATGCTTCTGTGTGGGGAAAATCTCTGCAAGTTCTTCTGTTTACTTTGTGCCATTTTCTGGAGCATTTTTTTTTTTGGAATGGTGGCTTTTAGGGATGTACTTGGTGTGCTCTTTACAGCGAAATTGTGTGGTTGGAGTAGGATGTCTTTTTTCCTCTGCAATAGCAGTTAGTCATCACCACTCTGCAAGTATTAGATAAAGCTGGCTAAATTTGTCTTCTGTTTGTGTTTGGTGGCTTCCAGTGCCTCATCTGTTAGTTTAACTAGCTCCTTAACCACTGCACGTATTCTTAAGGTAGGCCAGATGCATTTTCATTTTCTACCTGTGGTTTACAGATAGAGACTTGAAAGATGCTTTACGTAAATACACGAGAGACTTGCTTTTCAATTTTGTGTTAAGTGAAAGCAAGCACTGCAGGTATTGAGAGCCGTGGGTTATTCATTTGGTGAGATGCTTTGCATGCCTTTTTTTATTGCACTTCTGCTCTTACGTGCGTGTATTTTAAACACTTTAATCGTTGCCATGTTCTTTCCGTTTTAAAGTTCCTCTTCATAAAAGCACTGACAACTGTTCAGCATTCCAGAGCGTGTCACAAACACAGGTTCCCAGTGCTGGAGTCCCATCTTGGGACAGTACTTCTCCCTGGCTGGTGGCTGGGCTCCCTTCTGTGCCAGGCTGCCTCTGCTCAGCCGTGGAGCACTTCCCTTTTTCTTCCCACTCATCCTCACATAGCAACCCACTGACCTAAGGTATTTTCTCTCCTGCCTGTGGATATGTGACAGCTTTTGTCTGTAGAAAGGAACTCTTATCTTCCTTAAGGGACACAGCCTCCTCTGGGTTCCAGGTTTGGGTCTGGCATCGCTCCAGCAGGCTTTTGGAACAGCTTCCTGACTTAGTGCCTTCTTTCATAGTGTCTCCTGTGGTTCCCTCCAAATGGGAAGGAACCAGGGAACCTGCATGGATGTCTTTTGCAGTTGTTACTTCTGGGAAGAGACTGTAAAACCTCCCTGAGGTTTCCCTTCCAGTGAAACAGGCTGTAACAGCAATGAGCAATGACAAAACATAATTTTACTTCAAAAACTCAAGTAGCAGTGCATTTTGGATCAGACCTTTAGATTTCTTTTGCAACATGTATTAAATTAATGTTTGTAATAAATGGAAGGGGAAGAAACGTAAGAGATACGATTGGATTAAAAGCTGAACAGTGGAGATGATGTGAGAAATCTTCAGTTTAGGAATTATTCTTTGCAAAAGGCTTCGTGGATCTGCAGGGTGAAATTTAATCACCAACAGAAATTCAGTGGTGGAAGAACACTATCCTGGAGTAGAACTCACCTCTTTGAAGTCTGTATATGTCTTTGTATATTGCTGTATACAAAGACACCAAATTAATGTACTGCTAATACAGGGTATTCCATAGAAAGTAGAAAGTGTGTCATTGGTTGTGGTGCAGTTTAGTTCCTTAGTGCTGCCTGTGGACAGCATGGATTGCTCTTCATACTTCAGAAACTGGATGTGCAAGGTTTTGCCAATCTTTTTATGAAGTAAATTATGGCATAAGCTGTCTATACCTTGTGAATCGTTACTGCTCCATTCGGTGTGGTAAAACCAAATAACAAGTCTGAAAAATATTCAATGTCAGCAGAATTTATGTTAAATAAAATGCTGTAAAATGGGGAGAAGAATTTTCAGCGTTGTTTTTTTTTTAATTTCACACAAGGCAGGGCCAACAGTCTCACAGTTATTGTGCTTTTTTTCTTTGCAGTGATGTTTTGGCACTGCCTATTTTCAAACAGGAAGATTCCAGCCTTCCACCAGAAAATGAGGCCCAACATCCACCCTTCCAGTATGTTATGTGTGCTGCGACATCTCCAGCAGTAAAATTATACGATGAAACTCTTACGTACTTGAATCAAGGTTGGTATGCGTGTATTGCAGGCTTAACTGCCACGAATGCAGCTTATGGTGTAAATTTCAAAACAAGGTTTCTTCATATTTTGAACAAATGAGTCTGGATAGCTTGTTACCATCTCGTGTTGTCCATGTGGTATGTGGATAGCTGTATGTCTTACTTTGGAAGTGAACACAAGTGCAGCTACCCTTGTAGTTACCAGTTATACATGTCTTGCTTTTGTCTTGTCTGCCTTTATCAGAAATTAAGTAGATACATAACTCCTGTGACTTTGGCTGTTTAGTTCTTTTAAAGCCTGTGTCTCACTTGCCTGACAGTATGGCTTTCTTTCTACAGGCAGCATTGACTGCTGAGCAAAATGATGAGTGACAAAACCTCCCTCATCTCTGGAAATGCCATTGCTGCCCTAAGTTCAGTCAGCTAGTATTTTGAACTGCAATCAAAATCTTTTTACAGTTTTTGGACTTTATTGATGACCTGTGTCCACTCTCCCTCTCCTTACTCCTGCTCTAATACTGAAGTAGCACTGTTCTTTTGTGTGGGTTTGCTTTTTCTTTTCTTTGTGTACTAGCACCTAAAAATCTCTCAATAGTCAGCACTGTAATTAGGAGGCATGGTTCTTCAGCACAGTATGTATGAAAAATAACCAAAAAAATGCACAGTTTCTTTTCCGTGTCCTACTGTGTTTTGGTGCATTTATTCTTTTTAGCTCAGATGCTTCTCTGAGCAATGTGCTTAGTATGCAGGTAAGAGGGCATACATTACAATATGCCTTGCTGAATCTTCACTGGTACCTGAAAAAGTTTCACTGCACACTGGGCGCCTTAAATCTGTGAGAGCAGATTGTATCTAATTTCATAATGACATGGTGACGAGGAATCCTTTTGAGCTTTCCATGTGAATGAAGTTGCCAAGTGCTTCATCTTGCAGCAGCAAGTCTGTCTAAATATACCTTAAACATCACTTGACTTGTCTACTGATGTGAGAGTATTGGAAGTTCTTGAGGCAATTAGTCATTTCTTACAGACACGATTGCATAGTTCAGCAATTTGCTTAGTCAGGCTTACTCTTTTTTTAATCACTTTTTGTACCCTGCATGCTCTCTTTAGCAGTAAGCAGTACAGTTCCATCAGTGTGCTGGACCAGCAACGTGGTTGGCACTGTTTAGAAAAATCTGGTATCTGTAGAAATACACTTTTTCTTCAGGGACAGCATCCAGCCTCCCTGCCCACACAGTGCTTGAAGGTCAGCTCAGCATGCTGGGGAAGCAGCAGAAGATAGGAAGCAGAAATACAAGAAGTGCTCTCTGAGTTCTGAGGAGAGCTTGCCATTTAAGTACCACTGTCTGAAATAACTGTAATTGTTTCATCTGGCCTTGAAACTCTGCTAATTTAAGATTTCTTGCAGAGTTGTCTTGTAGTTTTGCAGTGTTCCAGGTAACTTGCTGACATTGAAAATAAATTTATCTTCCAGCTGTTAGTACAAGCCCTACGTATTAACATATTAATCGTGGGGTAGTTTTGAGATGACATATTTTACACAGAAGTCAGTTTGAAGCGGAGATCTAATTTTTGTAGTGCCGTGTTATAGTTCACAATACTTTGGAGTTGTACTGATGCAGATGTCTGCATAATAAGTTGGAATAAGTTCTCCTAGAGGATATAATAAGTTGGAATAAGTTCTCCTAGAGGATATAATAAGTTGGAATAAGTTCTCCTAGAGGATATAATAAGTTGGAATAAGTTCTCCTAGAGGATATAATAAGTTGAAATAAGTTCTCCTAGAGGATATAATAAGTCGGAATAAGCTCTCCTAGAAAAGGAGTAATTTTAATCCTGGTTACTTCTGTTACCTGGTTTTTAGTTCGGCCCTGTTACTGCTCTCCTGCTTAATCATTTTCAAGGGGATCACAAGTAGGGAGTGCCACAAAGACCTGATGCCCTCTTCAATTTCATAGTTACCTTACTGTACTGGATTGAGACTACCAGAAGACAAGGGGATGTTTACTGTATCTGTTAAGGGAACACATAAATATGCCCTGACTTCACTCTGTCAGTAAGTATTTTAATGAGAGTAGCTAATGGAATATTTTAAGTGATGCAGTTTTCAGCTAGAGCTGATGCTAGAAGTTCAGATCGTGGAGTGATGATAGTTGTTAGGGATTTGCAAGGTTTTTAGTTGTAAGATCTGTTAAATGTCCATTGAGAATGCCTGTCACAGTTGTAGAACAGTGTTCTAAGCTGGCTGTTCAGCTAGATGTACATGCTCAAATAGCAGAAATGGTATGAAAGAAAATCCCTGTTACAGGGGGAGTTTGTGGGTGCTTGCAGAGCACCATTGTAGGAAAATTTCAAAATCCTTTCTGGAAATTGGTGTGGTGGGCTGCTGTTCTGAGGTGTGTGCACTGTTACATGCAGCATGGGGAGTAGATAACCTGAATTAGAGGTCTGTGTGCAGCTGTAGGGCTGTGATCTTCTTGCAGCTGGGGCAGAGCGCAGCCTCTGAGTGTTGGCAGTTACACCAGAAGGTCCTGCTGCCATCCCGAGGCACTTCATCAGCCTGGAAAAGTGAACTGACACAAATCTCAGGTTAACAAGAAGTGCCGGATCCTGCACCTATGGAAGGACAACCACATACACCAGTACGTGCTGGGGGCCACCCAGCTGGAGAGCAGTTAGGCAGAAAAGGAGATGGGAGTCCAGGTGAACACCAGATTGAGCAAGAGCCAGCAGTATGTCCTTGCAGCATTAGGCAAAGTATTGTCAGCAGGTCAAGGGAGGTGATCCTTCCCCTCTACTCAGAACTGGTGAGGTCAGACCTGAAGCTCTGTGTCCAGTTCTGGGCTCCTCAGTACTAGAGGCACATGGACATATGGAAGAGTGTCCAGCAAAAAGCCATGAAAATGGTGAAGAGCCTGGAGCATCACATCATTGAGGAAGGGCTAAGGGAGCTGGGAGTTATCTCATGTACAAATACCTGAAGGGAGGGTGCAAAAAGGAAAGAGCCAGGCTCTTGTCAATGGTAGCCAGTGCTAAGACAAGATGCAGTGGGCACAAACTGAAACACAGGAGGCTCCCTCTGAACACCAGAAAACCCTTCTGCACTGAGAGGGTAGCAGAGCACCAGCAGAGACTGCCCATGGAGGTTGTGGAGTCTCCAGCCATGGAGTTAACTCAAAAGCTGGGAGTTGGTCTGGATGTCTCTGCTTGAGCAGGGGGTTGGATGAAGACCTCCAGATGTTTCTTCCTGCTACGTTTTTAGTGTTAAACGTAGGCCAGTTACATTTGATGGCACCTTACATTGGCTTGCTTCTCTGGCTGCTCTTGAGGAAAATGTATAGCACTCAGTGGACATGTGACTGGAATATTCAGTGCTCTGCCACTTCTTATACTGTCAAAGCTGCTACGTATCCAAAACTTCAGACTGGAATATGTCTATCCCCTTGTCTCAAAAATTTCTTCTTTTTCATTTTTTTTTTCCCTCCATTTTAAAACAGCAATGGACAGAGAAAAAGTTACAAAATGTTATTAGTAGTGCTGAATTAAATCTCAAAATCACAGAGTGGCTTGAGTTGGAAGGGAGCTTAGTTCCATCCCTCGTGCTGTGGGCAGGGTAGCCACCCACTAAATCAGGAGTAGAAATGATGTGATGTTTGCTCGGCTGCAGTACGTGCATTTAATTGTGGTATGTATATTTTTTATGTCAGCGGTGGTCAGATGCTGCTGGAGTAAAGAAAGCTTGTACATGTGTGGTGCATAGCCTGATAGGCTGAATGGTGTCACAGCAAAGTAAAACCCCTTCACAGTAATGCTATTGAAAAGGCTTATATTTGGAAATTGTATAAAACCTCTGCAGGTCGTACAGAGGCAGAAGTTAAATGGACAAAATTAAACATGGGAGAGTGGTATGTATTTTGTGTGAAGCGTTTAAATGCTTTTTTTTTCTTTCTTTTGAGAAAGCAAAACATCAAAAAAAAACCCCTCAAAACAAAAAAAAACAACAACCCAAACCATCAGAAGAAAAGAGTAGTTACTCTAAATGTAAAGTATAATACTCAAGCTTTGGGAGTATCTGTAGTTTTACCTGAATTAAAGAGATTCACTTCATGGTTGCACTCATTCCTGTACTGTGGAGTCAACCTTGTTACAGAAATCTCTTAAACAGAAGCTTGAGGTACTGATATTCTTGTTTAAGAATCAAAGGCTGATTGAGGTACATTAAGCATGAGATGGCTTTGTGGTCTGACTGTTCTTTCTTTACAGGTCAGTCCTATGAAATACGGATGCTGGATAATCGGAAAGCTGGAGACATACCAGAGATCAATGGCAAACTGGTGAAGGTGAGCATCAGTTCTCTAATAGTGTTGCTGTCAAACCTCTGCTGTTTGTTTGCATGTGAAAAAGAGCAGCTTTTAACCTTTTGTTGGACAGTAAGTCGTGGAGGGACGTGGACTAGCTCATCTCACCACTGAGCAGAGTAGTAGTGGAACCTAATGCTTCATTCTGTTGTTTTGCTGGTTTTGAATTTACTACAAATTAAAGGAATATACACGTATACATTTCCCAATTTATGAATGAGTTCATTTCATGTAACTGCAGATAACTGAAGGTGACCTTATCACTTTATCTAGCCTTTGTGAGGTTTGCAGTCTGATCTGTTGTAAGATGAGGCGAATCTCTGTTAAATGTGCATTGAACTCTCATATCTGAAGTTGGGTGTGATGAATCCAACCCAGACACCTTTCATTTCATAGATTTTTTTTTTCTACTGCCACCAGATACTTGCTGAATAATAGTTGACCAGTGATACTAAAAACAATAAAATGCTGCCTATAGTGTGCTAGAGTGTAGCAAAGACATTTTTTTCATGTAAGCTTTAAGATACTTAGATGTCTGTGGATGCATGTCCAGTGTCTTCTGGGCTGTGCCATCTTATGAATCCTTAGGAGAGCAGACCTCTGTAATTCTGCAGCTCATCAAGCACTTTGTTCCACTGTTGAAGTCCTGTTCTAATTCTGTATTTGTTTTGTTATGCTTTAATATTAGCAGAAAGTATGTTGAATCCAACACGGTGCACAAAGTAGGAGAATGAGGCAGAATGAAAGGTGCCCAATTCATAGGACATGTTATTAAAAGAATGGCCTAGTGGTGGGGGGGATTGGATTTTTCTCTTTGCAATTTTTATCAGATCTTCCAGGAAAATCTTACTCATGCTCTGTGTTGGAGAAGCAGTTACTTCAGCAGCAGTACTGAGAAATTAAACCAGAACGGCGTGCCCGTGGGAGGCTGAATCTTTACCTGTCAGCTTTGGGCTGTGTCGTTTGAGACATTTGGCTGGGCCTCTATAGTCCTGGGCTTTGTTCTTACTTGTCTGTGGGATGCTTGTTCAGAGATAATTTGAAGAAGCATTAAGCACAAGCATAACATTTGGCTTTGGGAGTTCTGCAATTAAATCTTTACAGCCAGGCATTTTGACTTGCTATAATAAGCACGTTGCCTATTTTGCCCCATTAGATGCTACTTTGTTACAGCTTTGGAGAGTCTCTCTGCTGCAGTTTTATGGAATCGTGTCTTAGTTATGAACTGCTAGGTAGGTAGGATGAGACAAAGCAATGTAGAAGTTTTATAAACTAAACTTGATTGTAGCAAGGTATTGCGTTGCTGCATCAACATAATCTCCACTTTGGAAACTTAAATACCAGAATCTTAGAACAGTAACAAAGAGGATATTCCACACTGATGAATTAGTGGATCTTTTGAAGTTTGATGCTTGTCAACCACTCAGCACAAAAGGGATGGTGTGTTGGTGTCTGTGCACAGGAACACATGCTTGCTGTTACTTTTGATGTAAAACAAAGGAAATGTTATATACCTTGAAGAGGTGCTGCATTTGGAAGTCCTTGGTTTTGTTTTGTTTTTAGCACTTTTGTTCACAGTTAATGGCCATAGACTATACCATATATTTATTTTCTCTGTATTTCAAATTGCTTCGTATGTGCATTCATGCAGCAGAACATAAATTTGTTTAATATGTTTAATATAGTAGGACAAGGGGAAATAGTTTTAAGTTGAGGGAGGGGGAAGATCGAGGTTGGATGTCAGGGGGAAGTTCTTTTCTGTGAGATGGTGAGGTGCTGGAACAGCTGCCCAGAGAGGCTGTGGATGCTCCGTCCCTGGAGGTGTTCAAGGCCAGGTTGGATGGGGCCCTGGGCAGCCTGGTCTGGTATTAAATGGGAAGGTTGGTGGCCCTGCATGTGGCAGGGGGTTGGAGGTTCATGATCCTTGAGGTCCCTTCCAACCCTGGCCATTCTGTGATTCTGTGGCTTGGAGCATGGCTGCAACAGAACTGCTCACAAGAAAAGGTGCTGCTGGATAATTGCTTCCAGATTAATAAAGTTAATCCTAGTATTTTCAATAAATATTTCAGGTAGAATATCTGGAATAGTTTAGAATTTGTTGCTACTTACCATTAACTAAAGTAACAGTTTTATTGTAAATCTGTTTACAAGAACTAGGAGGAATTATTAATCTCATTTCTTAAAGGTTTCTACAGCAATTCACAAAATCTCCAAAGGAAAAATGAATTGGTGAAACTGTATTTCCTGCTTTTCAAAATAAATGATTGTTTTGCTTTCTTTCTAAAACAAGTCTGTGTAGCCTACGCAGTGTTGATGTTGTGCTGCCAGTGTTGCTCTCTTTGCTGCACGTGATTTATTGTGACCTTTACAATAAAGAATTTGTAAATCTCTTCTTCCATTTTTACCACGTTTTCAGCTGTTTCCTTCTGTTGAGTTTTATTTCAGTATTCTGGATTATTTTGGGGTACTGATGGTTGCCAAGGTTTTTCTTTTTTAATTTTTCTGTAAACACATATCTGTCAGCTGTGTGGCTCTTTTGGAATGCTGTAGTGCTTTGTCTTCAGGCTGTTTCTAGACATATGATAACATTGTGGCTCATCAGATTATTGTTCTCTTATTAGAGTATTATAAGAGTTGTGTTCCATGACAGAAGGTTGCAATACACCGAACACCAGCAGCTGGAAGGATGGAAGTGGAATCGCCCTGGGGACAGACTTCTTGACTTAGGTAGAATTGCTTCTATCTTGGCATTATATTAGATTAAATGCATTTAAATCCATGATGGTCATATTTATGCTGACACTTCTGCTGACTGCTGAAGAGCGCAGCGCAGTGTTCTGTGTGCCACTCACAGTGTGTTTTGAAGAAAAATGTTCTTGCACTTTCACATTCCTTTAAAACCTTGAAGTGCTGCTGAGTGAGGTGGCAACTTTATGCAGTTAGTGCTCTTGGTAATTTTGACTCCTAAATATGATAGTAATTAGGAGAACGCAGATAAAAATAACTTTCTCTAGTAGATTGTGGAAGTGGCACCAATGTGATTTCTTTACTTGGCATAGCTTTATATTATATTATTTCATAAGCACTGTGTCTCTGGTGGGGAGGAGGGGGGAAATCACAAAACACCCTCGTGCACAGAGCACTTGGCATGTTGAGCCTACTAAGATTGTTCAGATCTGTTCTAAAAAGCTGCTCATGGCAGCCCACGTTTTCTCGCTGTACCCATATGTGCTCGTGGTAACCTTATATTAACATGTATTCCTGTTGTTCTCTTGGAATATGGTCATTTAAAAATACATATTGCTTATTTTAATGTAGATATTCCTATGTCTGTTGGAGTCATTGATATCAAGACAAATCCAAGCCAGCTCAATGCAGTTGAATTTTTGTGGGATCCAACAAAATGTACATCTGCTTTTATTCAGGTTTGAAACTTTACTTGACTGAATGTTTGTGTTTGATGCCTTTCAGCTCACAAATAGTAGTAGATTTGCACTGGGAAGCTCCTTGGTTTCTAACATGCGAAATGGCCATTAAATATCAGCTTTCTAAGAAGCGCAGGTTCACAGCAACTGTTAGATATATACAGGTTCCTAGATTAGGTTTTTCAACTTAATTTGATCTTATAAAAGCAGCTTTTAAGAGATTTTTTCAAAAAACTCTTTAAAAAAAAAAGTTCCTGGTTAAAATATTTAGTCCTATGGAGTGTTTGAATATATTTATTCTAAATAGTTGGCACTATTACGTTATTTTATTTGGGAGATCCTGGATGAAGGTTTTAGATCAGCTATTCAAACTTGTTTCATATATCAGTTGTCTTCTCTGTAGCAGGATTTCTATTATTTATTTTTTCTTATTTGATATTTAAGCCAATTGAACATGTTATCTTTGCACATTATTTAGATAGAATGTTCAGTTTTCATTACAATTTCTAGCTTGCTTTTGTCTCAGTCCTGTTTTTACTCTGGAAAAAAATACAAAGTTTGAGGTAGCTTTGTTCCTTACTGAGACTGCCACAGCTTAACTTCAGCACTGTCAGTAAATTAACTTTGATCTGGTGCAAAGGCACTTTGTTCTAGTAAGAATTACCCCTTTATGGGATGTAGCCATTCTTGAAAAAGTGTAAAGCAGACCAAGTAAGATTTTTGTTCATGCACTCCTTAGAACTGATGGCTGACTGAAAAGTGAACTGATTCTTATATCCAGGTATAACTCACTCTCTCTAAAGGCTGGTGATCACAGCATAGCTGCACTGGCTGCACTTCTGTGCACAGTCTGTGGTTCTCTCTTGTCGATGGTTGAAGGGAATAGATGGTTTTGCACCTAACGGTTGGCAGCGCAAGGGATGCAATTGTCCCTGGTGCTGAATTTGCTTTGTTTTTCAGAGGCAAGCAGAAAAACGGAGCGTGTTGCCCAGTAAGATTCATTATAACTCACAGTTTCAACTTATTTTTCCATTAGATACCTTTGGAGGATATTTCTAGCTAATAAAGTTGTACTATCCAAGAAAGTCTGTTGCCTTTTGTGAGAAGGTGGGCATATTTGAAAAGACCCCATTTTCACATGAGATTATGAAGCTCTTCTAAACCAGTCTTTCTATAGCTTTGATGATATTCAGGACAAGTAACTCTCAAGTTTATTCGAGCTACAGTAGATTGAACAACGGTATCTTGAAAAAGTTTTTGCTGTGTTCATGATAAAGTTGCCATGCTCAGACATTTCTCTTAAAATATGATGGTTTACAGCAAACTCTCAGTTAATTAGAATCTGTAATGAGTTGTGGGTTTCAGGGAGACTTTGGTCTCACGTGTGCTTGTTTCCTTTTCTCCCTGTCAGCTCAGGTATAGCATCTTTGGCTTCATTTGCATGTGAGCAGGAAAATTTAAGTTAGTTGTACAGCTCGATCCTCAGATACGCTGGGTCATTTGTTGCTTGTCCTTAAAAATATACCTGTGTGGGCAACACCTAGTGGAATTCATGTGTACAGTGCTTCAGAGTTTGTTATTTGTTCCATTTGTTTTTTAGGTCCATTGTATCAGCACTGAATTTACCCCTCGTAAGCATGGAGGAGAAAAAGGAGTTCCTTTTAGGATTCAGGTTGACACTTTCAAGCAGACTGAAAATGGAGAATATACAGATCATCTGCATTCAGCCAGCTGTCAAATTAAAGTTTTTAAGGTAAGGGTGGAAAGCAGATATTTAATGAGTCAATCAAAACTCTTATAAAGATGGGGGGCATCTTTATATTACTGCTTGACTTCTGAAATGAGATTTCAGTTATAAAGCTGTTTGCTTTCTGCTTTATTTTCACGTAACTGTTCATTTTTAGCCAAAAGGAGCAGACAGGAAACAGAAAACAGACAGAGAAAAGATGGAAAAGCGAACTGCACATGAGAAGGAAAAGTATCAGCCTTCCTATGACACCACCATTCTCACAGAGGTAACAAAACAGATTTACTTCTGTTTGCTGAGGAAGAAATACATAGGTATAGTCTTGAAAGGGTTGGGGAAGAACTAGTTCCACGCAGAGGTAGGCTTTTATTTGGCAAACTTGTCCAGTGGGCAGCAACATTAAACTTAAAGATTCTGTTTAATAAGCTTCATTTAGATGATGGATGCTTCTATTAATGCACACTGAGGTAGAACGCCGTTTAGCTGACTGTGCTGAACTCAAGAGCAAGCCTTTTGGTACAAATCTAAAAGCCTTGCAGCTGAGAAGGCTGAAAAAACCTCACCAACAATTAAAACAGAGGGGGGGAACCTAGAATTTAATTATCTACTAAGATTTCACTTCAGACTGTAGGGTTGGTTTGGTTGGTTTTTTGTTTTTTTGGACGTTATTGAATTTAAGGCCAGAGCCTCAGTAGGTTTTTGCATTTTCTTTTATTTAAGCGTCAGTGAGTTCTGTACAGTTTTCTAAAGAATTTCAGAAGTTTTACAAGGCTTTTAGATCTTTCCTCACTGTATAATGAAAAGAAATTGATCCGAATCTTTGGTGTTTGTCCAGATGAGGCTTGAGCCTATAATTGAAGATGCAGTTGAACATGAGCAGAAAAAGTCCAGCAAGCGGACTTTGCCAGCAGACTACGGTGATTCTCTGGCAAAGCGAGGCAGTGTAAGGGACTTCTGCTTACTTTTCATTGTGCAAGATACCTTGTGCAGTGTTAGATATAGGAGAAACTTCCGTAACATAAAGCAAAACCATTTTGATTGCTGTGTCTTAACTTGATCCGCTCTCACGTATATCAATTGCTCCATCTTTGTTCTTAGCAAAGGAATACTTCCTAAATCTAACACTTAAGATAAACTGTTGCAAAGGGACTGTGTAACTTTCACAAGTAAAGAGCTTTAAGTTTGTCCGACTTGAAATGAAATAGCATTTTGCTTTTCTGTATGTATGTGCTTAGTGGAAATAAGAACAGTGAAACGTAGTGAAAATGTTCTGTCCTGTATTTTTATTTCCATTCAATATGAATTTCCAGTACATCAGTATTTTCAAGTGGCATGCAGTGTTGCACATGGTTGATCGTTATTTACTGATTTTTCCTTTAGCCATCTACATCCGTTCTCCAAGCAGGCTTAATGTAGTTCAGCACAGCTTTATGCTGTGTGTATGTGTGCCCTGCAGACTGAATTAAAAATGTTCCTTGTTCTTCCTGTCAGGGGTTAGCATCAGATTTCCTGAAGGCAAATAGCAGTGAGACTTTAGTAATGATTAAGATAAGAAACCATCCTGCATCTTCCATTTGGCCAAGTTGAAATGTCTGTTTATTGTCTAGCTGTGGAATACAGTGATTGAACAGAAATATTGCCATCACCTTTCCAGCAGCACTGAGGCAGTGGCTGCCTGACTGTTATCCCTCAGACGTCATTTAGTTTTGCATTTATGATCTATTAAAATGATGCATAGGGTTCACTACAGTGTGTGCCTCTTGTTTGTAACAGGGAGGGATCAGGCATTATTTAGATGGGTTCTTCAGGTACTTCCTCCCTCCCTACCCAACAGCTGTAAGCACTGAGCTGTCTGAATTTACTTACTACTGTTTGTGGGTGCGGGGCTTTAAGGTCCACCTTTAGGATTCTGCTCTGCTCTTCTTTCCTTAGAACATGGGTTATTTTCAACTCACTTTCCTTTCTCCCTCATTTTCCCAAGAATGCCATGTAAGCGACTTTCCATCAGTGCCTTTTTTTTCCTGACCCCGTGTTTCAGAATGCAGTGTACTCACCACAGTTTCTGCAGTATTTCTCACAGTACTGTAAGAGGCTGCAGACATAACACTGCCTCCTGGGCTTCAGAGCAGGCGTTTATGGGCAGGTGACTTTCATCCAGGGGCCATCAAATGAAAGATGCACACTGTTTGTCTTTCAAATACACAGAAGCTAGGTCTTGTCTAGGAGGAAAGGAAAAAACAACCGATGCTTTCTGCCTGCAAAGCAAAAAGTATCTTGGATGACTGTTATATTTGGATATAGTGCTTTGTGTGTCACAGCCCTGAAACTACCACTTGTTTAAGCTTAATCCAGTTGTGGGTTTTTTTGTTGTTTTGTTTTCCTTTTTTTTTTTTTTAATGGATGGAGTTGACCATAAGGCACAGATGGAAGTTAGAAAACTTCCTGGTATCGACCTTAAAATAAATTGGAGCATTGTGTTCTGGTTATGAAAGATTGCTGCAGAAGTTACGTATATTCTGTAAGTGATTTAAATTTAGAATATGAAGCTTAGAGGCTAGAAGGGCCAGAAAGTGGAGCTGGAGCAAAGCAGTGTAGCAACATAAGCATGCAGTATTGCTTACATCTGTTTCTCCTTACATCTGTATAGCAGTAGCAGTGTGTGTAGGGTATATAATCATGTCTATGTAATGTTTGGGGAGTAACTTCTGCCACATTCAGAGTAATCAGCTCCGTGTGAGTAGAAGTTTTCCACTTCAGACAAGAAAGGGTCTGCAGCTGCATGGGCAAGAGTCCTTCATAGGTTCTCAGAAGAAGCTCTGCATAATGAAATAGCTGCCCTGTTGTCTAAAGGAGATACTGCGTGTGAGACTGTTTTGGAGCATGCTCTTGCTCTGTGTTAATTTATTATTTGAATACAGTATGGAATTCTATGCCAAAGTTTTTTTTTGTTGTTTTTTACAGCCTTGCAAAGCATGAATTTGGGCATACTTGAGTAGGTGGGAAGTAGGAGAGGAAAGGACACTCAACAGCAACTTGAAATAGCTACAGTCATTTCAATTCTTCCAAAGTTAAGAACATTCTGAATTTGAATGCTGCATATCCTATTCAGAAAAGTCATACGTTCTGGTGGTTGGCAACCTTTCCCACAGCAGGGGGGTTGAAACTAGATGATGTTTGAGGTCCTTTTCAACCCAGGCCATTCTATGATTAGTTCTTTGACACGTGCAAAGATCTTCCTATCTTCCATTTTAGCTCAGTGAAACTGCTCATCAAAGGTTTACAACTTCATTCCTACCCCGTACACAAGGACGTTAAAGATAGGAAGCCAGAATAACTTTCTGTTTATCAAGAATTAGTGTTCAGAAATAAAGGTATAATTTGTGAAGTACAGTTTTGTCCAAAGTATTGCATCGGTGTGCTGGTACTGGAGTGCAGTTAGTGCTGAGAGCTAAAAAATTAACCAGTGTATATTTTTGCTGGTCACTGCATAGGAAGATAGAACACCAGTGTTTCTTCTGTTCTCTGGTGGCGCTTGACACACTTGGATCCGTCCTTGAGATGGAGCAACATCTTTCATTTTTCAGAGTTTATGTGCAGTGTGCAGGGATTTCTGTGTTAACATCTGCCTTTGGTTGGACGGCCTTTGGTTGGACGGCCTTTGGTTGGACGGCCTTTGGTTGGACGGCCTTTGGTTGGACGGCCTTTGGTTGGACGGCCTTTGGTTGGACGGCCTTTGGTTGGACGGCCTTTGGTTGGACGGCCTTTGGTTGGACGGCCTTTGGTTGGCTCTCTTGTGGCTGTAAGAACGCACAGACTCCGGTGCTGAGTCACTGCACATCTGTAAGTGCAGTGCAGTGGCACCGACTGCTGTCTGGGGAGGGCCTGCAGCAGCAGGGAGGTCTGCTTGCTGTCTGTGATCCACTCCCAGGGTCCACAGTTGTCACGTGGGATGTTAGAAAGGCTCCAGCCTGCTGAGTCTTTGTGGACTTGATGCCCAGGATTTTGTCTAAGCCTTTTTTTCTGCAGTGTGGCACAATCGTGTGATTTTGAAAGCATAAGCAGATTGGATTAATTGCTAGAAGACACTGGAAATGTGTGCCAAAGCCATTTTTTAGTTTTCATGCTAGGCTTTTTTTCTATCTTGGACCATTCAGAGTTAGGTATCGCAGTGCTCAAATGCTCATCCCTTCCCTCCACGACCTGCATGACAGAAGGGAGTAGACCTGAGCCACTGGCCACTTTGCAGGATCAATATTATGTAGCGCCGCTACTGCTGTCGCTTGTTGGCTCTGAATAGGACTGAAGTATGTTTTCATGAGAAGAAAGGCTGCTTGCTTTTGGTTGGGCTTTTCTTTTCCTGAAATATCTCAAATCTGCTTCTTTCTTTAAACTCAGAGCTTTGTTGTGAAAACTTCAGCTGAGTGGACTGAAAGAAACACGAGTGGCATCGGTTCAAAGCCTGTTCTCTGATACCAGTGCATTCTTCTGACCATGAATGGAAATGCTTGCAGAGCTGATTCTTAAGTGGAGTAGTGGCTGAGGATGTACTGGTTGCAACTGTGTGTTCAGATTAAAAACAATTTGCATTAAACTTTAGTTGGAGAATCTCGGGAAATTAAGGAAAATATATTTGGCTTCAGCAATGTTTTAGCAAAACAGCTCATGTTCCTGTGTTGAGCTTTTGGTTAAAATTATGCCTTCGGGGCACGTCATTCTTCGAGGTGAACTTGAAACTTGGCTTGAGTAGGAACAACAGCAGGCTATATACAGCATGGGAGGAAAAGTGGCTGATGCCTGAAGGTCTTTGTGTGGCTGGCACAGGTCAGAGGTTGGCTTTGACTGCGTGATCAGTGACAGCCTGTACACAGTGTAGTAAAAGTACTGATCTGAAGGAATTCTCAAACAAAGATTTGCTGATTTGCAGGCTGTTGGCATGCAACTGTTTGAGGCTGTATGCTCCATGCCATAGAGCTTGTTGTCTTTCTGTGACAAGTGAAGAGTCCAGCACAGAAGTGCTGTTAACAGTTTTACAGAAGGTTACAGGCACTATTGCACCTGTTTATGGTTTCTCCCCAGCTGGTGGAAGGATCTTTAAGGGAAAGTCATTGAAACAAGTTGCCATTAAGTCGTACTTGTTTCTGGCTCCCCTCCCCGTGCAAAGCTCTGATAAACTGTGGAATTTCTTTACTGGTGCACAATGTGTGTATCAGAAACCTGGGTTGTTCTAACAGGTACTGTCTGAAATCACTTTATCTCGGGCTGCCTGGTTGGTGTCATGCTGTCTCATAACATACCAAGTCTGGTTATCATTTTTATTTAAATGATGAATTTGCAGTGGTGCTGGTGGAGCACTACAAGCTAGTATAATTTTGAAAGGCCTTCATCGTGATAGTTTACAAAATAAGCCAGAAAAGACTTTAACTGAGCTGGTTAGCTGGCTCATCATACACGTGTGATGGTGTAAATTTCTGCATAACAATTGCAGCTTACTGAGCAACTTAGGAAAGGCAGTACATGCAGCACAATTTTTAGTCCTACAATCAGTTAATAACAGTTTTCATTTAACAGGACTCAGGTTGTATTTAATTGCTGCCAGGATGGCTAGATTAGATTGACCAGCAATGTGAAATCTAGCCTCACATTTTTCCTTACTGCTGCTGAACTCCTGTTTCATACCTGCTGTTAAGCAGCCCCTTCATGCAAGGATGAAGGAAGTTCTCTGAGCAGATGGCCTGGGGTTGGTTGGTTTTAATCAGAGTAATCTGTACAGGTTCTCTGTCAGTTCCACCACTGCTACCTTCGTTGTGTTAACTGTGAGGGTGTAAGTAGGAGTCTTCCAGAGAACAGGGAAACGCTGGCTTTGGCTGGGAGTATCTGCATGTCGTGTATGGGATGGAGGGAATGGGTAACAAAAGAAAAGTAAAAAGCCCCACCTTGGATCTGAATAAAAGAATTATGCATGAAAGTAAAAAACGTGTTGTTAAGAGAAACTGAGTTTGAATTCTTCACCTTCAGTGCTCACCGTGGCCTGATACTCCTACGACATTTGTAAACAATAGCCCTACTCCTGCTCCAACTTTTACCTCTGCTCAACACAATACCTACAGTGTCCCAGACAGGTAACTTCCTTTTCTGTTGCCTCACTAAAGGTTGCATGTGTAAATCAGGTATATTCAGAAGTGCCTTCTGAGTTAATCTAGAAGCTTGCTACTGCTTTCTGATTTCACTGGGAAATGAGAGAGTTTTATTTCAACCTGTGTATTTATTTGATGTATGCTTGCACTGCACGTTTCTAATGTAATTTCTTTTTGCTTCAAAAATTCTCTTCCTTGCTAAAGAATGTGGAAATTTTTCTTCTTTGGCATATAGCAAATACTTAATCTTGTAATGGTTTGCATTCAGTCCCTATCAGTGTTCACAAACTGTTAGCTTCCTTTTTCAGTAAGAACACTCTGCCTTCCCCTCACACAGTTCATATAATTTGTGAGACACAAAAGATCTTCACGAGCTTTTTAACAGAAATTGTCTTAGTAAAAACATGTCCCACTGAGACGTTAATTAGGCTATTGCAATTAATCTTGGGTGATCAAGGAATAATTGACAGTGGTATTGTCTGTATAGGTTTGTAAGCCCTGTATTTTACTGCCTCTTCTGCAGTCAACCTTTAAGACAGACAAACACCCATGTATCCTCCCATGACTGCTGGCAAAGCTGCTCCTCCAGTTGACAAGGAATATGGAGGTTAGGAACTGGATGGTGGTGTATCAGGCTGTGATGATCTTTCTCTTAGATATAAGTTTATTGAGTCTCAGCCTATGCATTTTTTAATTTGTCTTAATGCTTTTTTGTTCTCCCCTGTAGCAATTCTTCCTCCCCAAATCATCAAGGAGATGGAACCTCTCAAGGGTCTGGAGACGTGAGTGTTTGCTTCCTGGTACTGATTGTGGCTGCATTTGCACCAAGACGTGCCTTTGATTTATTTATGCCTTGACATTAACACCAATTGAGGGAAAGCATTTAACTGAGGGAGGCTTCAATATATTGGGGTGTACTTTTTTTTTTCTTGCTGTTTTGTTGTTTTGTTCTGTTTTTTACATACAAACGTTCACGTCCAGCCTTGTTTCTTATAGCAGCTTCATCCTTCAGCCACAATCCAGGAAACGCAGCAGTGGTTGCTCAAGCATAGGTTCTCTACCTATACAAGACTTTTTTCAAATTTCTCAGGTATTGCTGACTTCTCTTTTATTGCAATAATGAGCAAGTTTTGTGTGGAAAATTACTCTGTAAAAATAATGTGGCACCAATATTTATCATATTTTACTTATTATGTGTAATTTGCTTATTAAATGCTGAGTTTATTTAGACAGAGATCCTTGGAAAACTTTTAAATCAGTTCTTTTTCCTGGTAGTCTTCATATGTTCACAGCAGCCTAATACTGTCTGAAGATTTCCTTTGAAGCAAAAGATGTAGTGTAGCTTTTATTGTACTACTTCAGTTGTTTTTTATGGCAGTATTTATGGGCAGTGATGGCAAATCATTCTTGCTGGCTTTTATCTGTGCATTCCTAGATCATCTGTGGATTGTTTCCATAAATAAAGGCCAACTTTTTCTGTCCTCCCACTCACTGATTACAGCCACTAATTTTTCAGACTTCAGTTTTCATCGTTGACACCCGTGCCATTTCTAAGAAATATCCTTCCATTTTGTGTTTAGAACTGATCAGTATCCTTCACTGAAGCTTCCTTTTCTAAAGTAAATGCTCTGGAAGCAGTTGGTTTCACAGCTCACTCCCAGGATCACTTTAAGAAAGAGAAGACCTGCTCTTGTGTAGAACTATCCCACCGACCTGGATTCGGTCTGCAGGCTGCCACCTTACAGACTGGACTTGGCTGTTTTAGTTACAGCAGCCTTTAGCAGCATCTGGTGTATCTGGGTGCAGTGTAGTAACTTGAGAATGTAGAGGGTGTGATGTGCTAGTGGGGGTGATTCGATGAGGGATGGTTTGGTGAGGATTACTGCACGTGAGAAACTATCACATCCCATTGCTCTCTGTGTTTGCATGTGTCTAAAATAGGCTCACATGTGTGTATCTTAGTCACTGTCTGGGTATAAAACAGTCATCTGTCTCAATTGTGTCTTGCAGAGTTTGTAGTTGTTAGAAGATGTGGAAAGCTGCTCATTGCTTTGTAGTGCTGCCTAGTGCCTAGGAGCAACTGGGCTTTGTTATTCTTGGTTTAAATGGATGTACAGATTCTTCTAGAAAAAATCATAAATATGCAAGAATAAACTTAGTAAAATCCCCATGTGTTTCTCCAGGTGCTGATTTATTAAAGCTGACAAGAGAAGATCTGGTACAAATCTGTGGTCCAGCCGATGGAATTCGGCTCTATAATGCACTGAAATCCAGGTAAAACACGGAGCACATGGCTGAGCAGACTTTGTTCTATTGCTCCCTAGAACATGGAGATGCAGGATTTGAGAATTCAGCAGCTGACGGGCCCTGAGTACTGCCCTGGGGCTGGCAGCAGTCAGATGGAGGTTCCTGTGGTCCTCAGAGCAGCCCTGATGAGCTGTGGGCAGCAGTGGGCTCAGGTGACCTGTAGGGCTGGTACCGGCGGGGCTGCGCACTGCTGGCTTCCTGTATGTGTGAATTTGTTGCCACAGCACAGAGTGGCACATGTAGGTGAGCTAAGAACAGCCTGAGGCTTTGGGATGTTACACGTGTTGGCTGCCAGCACAGAAAGGGTCTTGGTTGTGACTGAAATAGGCACTCACTGCTGGGAGCCTTTGTAGGAGCATTTCAGGTGTACTGTTGACGTAACAAATTCACACTTGTGGCAGATGACTTCTCGTCCTTCCAGGGCAGGGAGGCGTTTCTGTAAACGTGGGCTGTTTGCCTTGCAGGTCTGTGAGGCCCCGTCTAACCATCTACGTCTGTCAGGAGCCAGTAAGGAGCATACAACTGGAAAGACAAGATGCAGGCAACGGTGATAGCAGCAATGGTGCAATATATGGTACGGAGCGGGGGTCCCTTAACTTGCTGTCGTTGTGTTTGAGAAATGTAAACCAAGATGGGTGTGGGGGGGAAAGGATGGTGAAAAGATGAAATTCTGTTCCTGAAACACAGCAAGCGAAACCACAGGAAGGTGTGTTGAAAAGCACACGGCTTGTTTGTTAACAGTGCATGACCTTAAAACCTCTCAGGGTTGACTCCTCGATTTTTCAGTTCGCTGATAAAACTAACTGTAGTTAAACTGATAATTAATTAAAGGACTTTCAAATTAGCCGTGCTGTGTTGCACAGCCAAGATGCACTAACTAGATGCATGTGGAAAGCTAGCTGCAAATTAAAGGCTTGAATTCACAGCCATCCTTTAGTTACGTTTTGCTGTCATTTTCTGTGCAGCTGAACTAAAACTGGAGCAGCCTGGACAAGGAGAGGCAGCCACTGTGTTACTTTCCTGTGGCTTTAATGTAGTTTTCCTAGGACATAGCTCAGATGGGAACCTAATGTTTAATTGTAAATTCACATCAATCTTAAGAGAGTGGAGCTTCTTGAAATCACCTTTTTCTTACTGAAGAGACATCCGTGCCCTCAACCAACCAACTGGAATCCCTAACCTCTGTCTGAGCTGCTGCTGTATTGGTAGCTGTGTTTGTTCCATGGGAGAACTGAGGTGGAGGAGGATCTGTACGTAGAGCCCTGCCTGTCAGATATGTGCTTTGTTCTGGGTATCCAGTCTGTGGTTTGGGAAAGAAGCAAGTCCAAGCGTAGAGCTGCTGTGGGTGTCTGGCACTATTAAGTAAAGAGAGAAGACTCTAAATACAGCATCAAACCGATGAGCAGCTACTTTGTCTTACTGTTTGCCATGCTGTATTTTAGCCCCGTTTCTCAGCTCTGAAGTGTTGATAAGAAAACTTGTTCAGAAAGGTGAAAAAGGTTTTTCTTTACCAAAAAGATGACAGCCCACTGTTTCAAGCAGCAGCGTCAGTGCGTCAGAAGCATTATTGTCTTTTGAGGCACTCCAAAACTACTTCCAAAGTCATCTTCAAGTGACTCCAAAGAGCTGTTGAAGCCCATGCTGACTGTGTCTTGTGCAGGACACAGGAAAAATGTGGGAGTTTCCTTCAGTGTCAGCAAGCAGAGCCCCCCCCCCCCCCCTCCTCCCCGGCAGAGAGCTGTGCTCCTGCCTTACCTTGAAAGAAAAGGCACGGCAGCTTGTGCTGGGTAGAGAGTACAGGGAGAGCAGAGGAAAGGTGTCTTCAGCTTCTAGGAGCCGGGAATATCAACTAAGTCAGGTTTTTTTCATCCAGTTTCCCTTTTCCAGTCAGCCTGGTGCTTATTTATGTTCTTTCTTTTCCTGGCAGTTTATCATGCAATCTACTTAGAAGAAATGGCAGCCTCAGAAGTCACACGCAAGCTTGCTTTGGCATTTAATATTCCTTTGCATCAGATCAACCAGGTTTACAGACAGGGTCCCACTGGCATCCACATTCTTGTTAGTGATCAGGTAATGGGAATTTTTTTATTCAAAAATAGAATTTTTGCAGAATTGAAGTTTTTTTTTTAATACGTTGTTGCTGTTTTGTCGGTTTGGTAAAGCAGCCTAGCATTTTCAATCCAGATAATCGCAGACTAAGGAGAGAAAGAGCACTGCTCTGTGCAGTTGTGAGGTGCTGCGTTCATTACTTGCTTTGTATCTGTTTTGAACACGGCCGAAGGCAGGGACTGGCTGAGTACTGCTGAACACAGCTTACCCAGGTGCTCTGCACAGCCACCACTAAGAGGCTCCTGCCTGGCTCTCACCTGGTTGACAAGTGGTATTGGGACGTAATTGGGTATATGCTTGTCACATCTGGACACTGGCTGAGCACGTGCAGTTGCTCATAAAGAAAAGGCTGTTTTTAGTATCTGATGCAGTTAATTATCTGCGCTGGGCATACGCAGGAAGGTTTCAAAAATGTTTTTTTGTTGTTTTTTAGATGGTTCAAAACTTTCAGGATGAAAGTTGTTTCTTATTCACCACGATAAAAGGTACGGTATCTTGTAACAATGGTTAAGAGCATGGATGTTTGTTGCACCACCAGATCTTGCTTAAAGCAGTTTCAAGTGTAATGCTTCAGAGCAGTAGTGAAGCCCTTCTGCATGTGGAACCCAGGTCCATTCCTCAGTGTTTGGTGTGTTGCTGGAGAGGTATGGTTCTGTTTATGTAAGACTGACGCTGCTTTCTCCTTCAGCTGAAAATGGTGAAGGCTTCCACATAATTCTGAAGTGATGCCACACGACTGCTTGACTGATACTCCAGTGCTGAACGAAATCCTGCCTAATATGAAGATCATCCAAGAACTTAGGATCTAGCTTCACCGTATAAGATGTTTCATATTGAAAACACAAAATGACCTTTCTAATGAGCTGTTTGATAGGTGAACTTTCTTGTCACTGCCATAGCTACGTGTCCTCATGAGAGGTATAATGCCATGACAGCTTACGTACAGGCATGGACGACAATGTAAGCACAGGTGCTTGCCCTTCATTGAAATAAGGCAAATCACGGCCAGTAGATACAGGTTCTAGAGGTGAAACACTGTTGCTTCTCTGTTACCTGTATCCAGTTGGAAATGAATGTAAACTTATTTGAGGGCATTTAGCTTTCTGTGCCAGTTTGTCTGTGACTTGCTTGTACCTTACGCTGGTTTTATTTTTTGATGTTAGCAGAGCACATATTAATCTGTGTGGAGATGAGTAGTTAAGCTGATAGTGATCAGGTTGTTGGGTCTCGGAGAGTAAAGCTGTCACAACAGCTTCTGTGTAAATTGTGTATAAGAGTGTATGTAAGAAGTGTAAATGCCAGAATAGGGCTTGGAAGAAGCCCTAGACAGATGCAATATATGCATGCAGCAAACTGCATTATTAATAGTACCTTATTGGAGGGATTAATACAAATCCTATGGGGTACCGAGTAATTGTGTTTTGCTTTAACAAACTTAATGGAAAAGAATTGCCTATGCATCCTTTATTTTTTAGTTTCCTAGGTTCTCTGCAGAGCGCCGCTGCAGTTTAACTCTTTGCTTGTAAGGTGTGGGGTTGCACCACGCTGGCAGTGAGGTGGATCGTCCTGACTTAACGCACTTACAGGGCAGTTACCCGCAGGCACCAGGGGCTGCTGTTGCTTTCATCACCACCGAGCAGCCGGCCCAAGGAACACTGAACGCACAGCCTGGGAGCCTCCCTAGCAAACCCTTGCTGGAGGCACTGTTCTGGCTGAGCGTAGTTCCTTTTCTGTTGAGTGTTTGCCCTCAGATCCATACTGTACAGCTGGTACAGTGCCTCCTCCATCTCACCACGCTCTCACTCGGCTCTGAGGCAGGCAGCGCGCTTTCTCAGCATTCTGGCTATTTCTTGTAAAGACGTGGCACGGCATCTCCGGCGTTAACGTTGTTCCAGCTCTTTAGGTACTCGGAAGGGAATGCTACAGAAGGTATCGAATGACGGTTTCTCATCTGTCATTTTGTGCCTTTGGAAGTTTCCACCTTGTTCTCTGGCTTAAAGCTTGGCAATACTTTGCTTTTTATGCTGCAGTGTTCACTGTAAACAACTACTACAGCATGTAAAAAAGCAACTTTGTTTTTTTGTTCCCTCTTTCATAGCTGGCTCAAGTGCTTCGCAGAAAAGCTTTTTAAACCTGTAGCGTTTTGAAAATTAAAATTCATCAAAGCTAGAGTTTCTTTCCTATTCCTTCTGCACTGAAAATGAAACTTTCTGTACTTTTCTGCCTATAAGTTGTTCATCTTGGGGTATTGTTTGATCCTACTATTTTCTTGAACTGACAACAGTCTTTTCAGCTCAAACCACATTCAAATCCAAATGTTTTATGAAAGATTGATTGGAAAGTATCCAAATATCGTCTAATTTTAAAGAATATTGAAAGTTGTACAGTAGTTTGTCCAGCTCACTTGAAATTGGAATTAAATTATGGCACCAGCAAATTGCTTTTGTTTTTTAATAAGATGTACACATTTCAATTTAAGTATAATAAATGTTTTTCAATAATTTTGTAAACATGTTTTTCTTTTTATTTGTCTTCTTTTTGAAGAGTTATTAGAGATACTTCTGTTGAGAGTTGCAGACTGCACCACTTCCCCTCACAGAGTGCCTGGTAAAGGTAAATAACTGAGGCAGAGCAGCTCCGTAGTTGATCTTGTTTCTCAAAGGAAGTTTATATTGGAAAAAAACTCCAAAGCAATCAGTAATTGACATCAGCTGATTGTTTATTTAAGTGTCCTATACCAGAGTAGGTTCCATTTGTTTTTGTACATCTTTAATGCAATGGACATACTTACAAGGTTCATTATGTTCTTAAAAAAAATAAATGAGCCAACCAAAGGCAACACTTCTTGACATAGGGGTACCAATGACTTCCCTGGTACAGTGGAGAATAAAATCTTGAAACTCTTCATTACAGCAGTGCCTTACTGGAAATCTAAGTCTGATTGTAACAACACTCCTCTACCAGTGTGCAAAATGAGCCCTGATCGATGGGCTTATTCTGCAGTAGAAAAGAAAACTGCACTATCCTTTAGGTATTTATCCTTGAAGTGGAGATCTTCATTTACCATCCCTGTCGCCTCTGAATGGTACAGCAGGATAGTAACGTTGTTGGTAGCCGCTGAGGTCTTAGTGTTCTCATCACTTAAAAAGTAGTTCAGATTTATGACAGATGCCGGAATGCCCCGGTAGGAGCTTCTCGGATGGCTTTGTTAATGAAGCCAGTATTTCTGTTAGATTTCGGTAAACACGCAGGCCCCAGACTCTTAAAACATGAACACACACAACCAGTCTTAGGCAGAAAAGCTTTCTGAGCTGTTGAGTAGTTTATCTGTCTCAGATAATTAGGTTGCTTTATATAAAAAAAGTTCATCTATCTAATCCTCTAGCACTGGAAAACTAAGGATGAAAGCATGGCCTCAAGAGTTAATACTTAATTATTTAATTTTTTTAATTATTATTCAGAAATTCAGAATTTTTTTAAATTATTATTCAGACATTGACAGCTTCTTTAATAACCCAGATGTGAAGAGTTTGCCTTTCTGCATTTGAAAACCACTGGTTTGGTTCAATTCCTGCCCACAGATCTGCATCCCTACAACACAAGGACAAACAGCTTGACCTCAACTCCCCACTCCATCACAGTTCCTGCAGCTTAACCTAGCTTCCGTTCCTCACCTTAGAAAAGCAGGAGCAGTGCATCCCTCTTCCCAGAGCTGCTCCGTCCTTCCATTACAAACCAGGAGGTGACTGAGGACACAGTAATGGCATTACAGTAAGCACCGTGGATGGCTGTGGCAGCCCTTTTCAGCAGAGTGCACAAGCTCCCCCCCAGTGGATTTCCAACCCCTTTTAACAGCTGATGGCATGGGGCATAAAACGTGCTTCAGTGATGGGCAAGCTTTATCCTAACTCGTAGTTCAACTGAGCCAAGTTAAAAAATTTGACAAGTATTTATATAGTTATCATGAGGTACAGTCTTTACCTTTTGACATTACCTATTATGTCCTGTTAATGTCATTAAATGCAGTGCTGGATCATGAAGAAGTATAAGCTGTTTTGCTGGAAGAGCACATGACTATCTTGCATTTTTGGTCAACATTTGCTAAAGCTGATTTGTCCTTAAACCTGATATTTAATCTGCCACGTATATTACAGAACAGCAGGTTCAGTTTCATCCCGTGTCTGACCTGAGCCCCATCTTACATCAGAGCTCATGCTGAATACAACTTACAGAAGTGCTTACAGATACAAACTCACTTCCACACTAGTGAACGTTCACCAAATACCATAATGCTGAAACACCCCCGCGTTGTACACAGCACTTCAGTTCTCATGCCAACAGAAGGAAGGAGTCACTAGCACAAACCAAAGCATCACCAACTTAATCCACATCTGAACAGTACAGTAAGACTTTTTACCTGGAAAAAAAAAATGCTCTTCTCGTCACAAAACTGGATGACCAAACATCACCATTGTAACAGTCGGGAAACCAACTCCTTCCACTGACTTGCAGTCCAGTTCTTTTCTTCAACAACAACAAAAAAAACTAAACAGAGAATGCTGTGTGGTTGCACTTTGTGTCAAAGAATAATACAGCATCTGCAGAGGCGCTGTCCGCTCCCTCCGACCGAAGGAGGGGGAGTTACTGGAGCAAAGTAAGCATGCACTTTCACGTGAGGTCGATGAGCCTGTGGATGAGAAGTTTGCATTTTAATGGGAAAGAAGTGAGCATAACACAGCCAAAAATGAGCTCTCGTTGGGGTTGGCTAGCTAAAAAGCATCAAGCTCCCCAACCTCTTCTCCCAGCACGTAATTCCTGCATTCCAGCTGCATAAATGTATCATATATGTGCACTGTACGGATATAAACACAGTTCCAACACCAAAAGGATCTAGAATTGTAAGCAGGCAAGTACTGCAGCTCACGTAGAAAAGCTATGTTCTGTGGGAACACAGATGGGAGCCTAACAGAACGAGCTCAGGCGCTGGTTCCCTGCCCTCCCTTGCCCGGGACACCTACAGGTCTACTCCCACAATCACAAGAGGAATCAGTGAGGTGGGTGCTCCCTCCAGAACAGGCCCACACAGCACCTACTCGGATTCTTTTGATTCCAGCCCGTGTGACTTGCTGGCAGTCATACAGCTCAATTCTCTCCAGGTTGTGGCAGTTCTCCAGGTGTTCCAGGGTCACGTCAGTGATGAGCAGGCAGTTATCAAGCTCCAGTACTTGCAGCCGCTCGTGACCACACGTGCTGTTGCTCAGATGAAGAATCCCATCATCAGTGATCAATTCACAGTGAGATAAGCTCTGAAACAGAGAGGTAAACAATATCAACAATTCTAAATGAGTCAATCTTCCAGCCACCAGCAGTTGTCTTCAGCGTCTCTCACTCCAGTGGTTAAAGTTGCAAAGAATATGAAGTTTAAACCCAGAACCGTAACAAAAGAAGCAGTTCAGTTAACAGAAGAAGGGCTGTACTTAATTTTTAACTTGGCTTCCAAGTAAGTAGTAGAGCTTAAGAGCCCAATTAGGTGCATCACTGGCCAACTCCCCAACACCTTCAGCTCCTAATGAGTGGCAATCCATTGCTGCATACCTCGGTCACCAAAAGGTCCCAACAGCACATCCAGGGTGCCAGAAGCAGGAGACTTTAAAGGATGATCAAGAACACATGAGGAGTGACTTTCACAGCTACTGTAATAGAGACAGTTTCAATATATGCCACTAGGACCGAGTTTATATAGATCTGCAAAGGGGAAGGGTGAGCCAGTAGCCAGAAAGGAGGATGAGAGATGGCTCTCTGCAGCTGTCCTCTTTCCCTCACCTCTGGCTGATTCCATTTTACTCACTCACCAAGTTGAGCTGCCAGCAGTGACTGAGCAACGCCACAACTGCTGCATGCTGTCTCCAAAAAGTAACAGAGATAGTAAGTTTGTCCCTATCAAAAAGCATTTTCTCTCATGCTTACATTCTGTGAGTCTATTAGCTCTTTAAGTAATTAAGTTTCTTCTATATTCACTTCTATGTAGGAAACCTTGAGCATTTGATCTGGCTCACAGTCTGGAAACAGTCAGCAACTGCAGGGTTAAAGAACATTTCTAACAGTCCTGCTGTTTCGAGGAAGGACAGGAGCTGTTGGCACAGCAGCAGCCTGATGGCTAATTAAGAGTTTTCCATCCCAGTAAGTAAGCAGCTTATAAAATTCAGCTTTCCTGAGACACCATATTTGGTGCTGAAAGAGCAATACAAGATGTACAGCCGAGTTCAGAGACTCTGTAAAACAAATATGCAAAACTGACTTCATGTACCTGTTAAAAAGTGTTAGGAACGTGGAATTTCCACATGTTTTTGCTTGAAATCTTTAGAATAAGGAGATACAGCCATTAAAAAAAAATAAATAAATCAACACATTCTAAAGATTGCGTATAAATCAAATATGGCATGAATATACTGTGCCAGTAAGAAACATTATGATAAACAGAGCTAAAGAATTCAACTGTCTTCCTCTCTGAGTCTACCCATGAGTGCTTCACAGTCAGTGTCTACTAATCTGAGTGCACCAACTTCAAGCAGATCCACTGGAAATTACTTCTCAAGTCCAGTAACTAAAAAAACATTAGTGAAGACGTAACAGTTGGTTGCAATGTAACAGTGCTTTCCCTTATTTCCATGGTCTAAGCCTCTGAACACCGAGAAACAAATTCAAAGTTGTCTTCAACTTCAAAATACCTGTTTAAACTGCGAGTACACCGGGATGTATGCTAAACCACAGCCAGACAACAGTTTACTTGATAATACATGATTTCAAATCTAAAGTATCAGGATTACTTCATGTAGGTTATCTGCCATCTGCTTGCTTTCCCTGTGATCACCACCCTGTTCATTCACAGGTTTGAGTACGCATCATTGCTACACACAGGATACACACATCAGAGGAAAAGTAAGCTCTTCTGACTCCCCTATAAAGCTGTCCTTTATGTGCATGGATACACCACTGCCACACGTCCCATCTGTGGGCTGACAAAGAGAGGAAGGTGCTCAGTTGGTGTTAGCAAACAGCAGCAGGTTAGGAAAAATACCTGAATGTTACTCATTTCTATGATCTCTCTGGTAAAGCGCTGGCAGAACTGGTGCAAAAGATCTCCTGCCAGTGCTGCTGATAGCTGGGATTACAACACAAGAACATATCCATCACAGAATCACAGATCATGTAAGTGACCCCCATCTCCTGATAACCTTGATTTGGCTTAATGTTAAGAACAATGGAACAGAAATGAAGTGGGACAGTGAGCAAGGAAAAATCAAACCCATCAGCAACAAATACTGAATAAGGCTCTCCTTTAAAAGCCATCTCTCCCCACGCTGCTGCCTTAGTAACACTGAGCTGGAAAAATCAATTCACTTAATGAAGCAGCAAGCCCTCCTTTAATCCCATCTAAGAGCAGATTATAAAGACACATGTTCTCACAGGTACATCCCAAGTAACACACAACAGATCTACACTTAATGGACAACCGGCCCTGAACAGAGAAGCCCTGCTCTAAGGGCATTCAAGGAATTAATTATTATGGGGTACTTTGACCAGAGGACAGCCAAACTCCCATCACCTGAAATTGTTCTGATGTTCAGGAAGATGTAACCCACCACTCCCTACAAACAGTGCTGTGCAGAACTGTGAGCAGTGCCCTGCTGACGGCACCCCAGTCCTCCCCGATCTCTTTGGAAAGGTCAAAAAAAACCTTCTGCAATTTAAGTCCTTGGGAAAAGCTGCATGCATGCAAAACTGATTACAGAAGAGGATTTGGATTTATCTTCACATAGTGATTTCTTTGCTGTTGTTTATTCAGTATTTGACTTGCTTCAGTCTACAACTTCAAGTGTCCGCACCCCAAGGAAACCATTACTGAACACACAAGGGTAACTATGAAGCATCTAGGTACTGCAAATTTCCCACAAAAAGTTTTATTTCAATTGAGGAATCACATATGAAGGACATTAACCATAAAATGTAAACCTTCTGGTTATTACTAACTTTTTTTTTTTTTTGACAGCATTGCCAAAATACTCTTCTACTCCAGGAAATTTTTGTAGCTGAAGAGTGGACAATTGTACTTTATGTCACAGAGATGTTGCAACTGTTATATATCAGGTGTTGAAGCTCACAAACAGAAGTTACACTTACCAATGCTTGTAGTTTAGGACAGTGTATAGAAAGTTGTATCAAGGTGCTGTCAGTTATCTAGAAGTAAAAAAAAGCAACAAACAACAGTAAGCTGCCAACAGCGGTGAGGTGTGTGCATGTGGGGGCACCAATCAAGGAAGATATCCCTTCCTTTAACAGATTCAAGCTGTTTTTCTCCTCCACCATACACTTCTCTGGCAAACACCCAATCAGCTGTTACTCACAACGTATTTCCTTGTACAGAATTTTCCACTTTTATTTACTGTCAATAACACAGCACTTACCCTCCCACTTCTCTTCCCAGTCAAAACCAACCCAAAACACTGCAGCAACTTTAATTCAAAGTGCTGATGGTTCTGGAATGGGCTGACCACAGAGGTTGTGGAGTGTCTTTCTCCATGCAGGAGACATGCAGAACTCGCCTGGATGCCTCCCTCTGTAACCTCCTGTAGGGAACCTCCTTCAGCAGGAGGGACCCAATGATCCCCAGAGGTCCCTTTCCAAGCCCTACGATTCTGTGATTCTATGCTGTTACTGGCACTGCATTCCCACACTGCATGCTCTGTACTTTTGAAAATGAAATCTCACCAAAACACATTCTTCCAAGTCCATCTTCTCCAGCTCGTGGCAGTTCTAAAATATACAAAAACAGCTAAGATGAAATAAAACAATATATAGATGTAAGATAATGCACGAGTCCAGTAATGTGGGAAAGCACAACCTTCAAGAAGAAACTGAGCTAAATCCCTTCAATTATTTGACCACCACCAAAGAACAAAAGTTAAAAAATGTAAAAAACCAAAAGCAATACATCTCCCTCTCAAAACCTTCACATTCTCAGCCTTTTCTCTTAATCGATGATGTTCGCCCTCTTTGCCCTGCAAGATTTGTTTGTCATCAGCACTCAGCCACCCCTGCTTTCAGCATTCCCCTCTTGGCAGGATTCGTACCAATGGCATTTACAGCCTTTGTATTCAAGATACCTCCTCAGCACGCAGATGAATTCAATTTCTGCATTCATCAACCTCCATCAAAGTAATCCGAAAGACATCACTGCCTCTGAAACATCTCTCTTTACCACTGAAGTTTTAGCATGAAGCCTTAAAAACAATTTGTTTTGCTATCCGAAAAAACTAAAACAGAGTCTACTTTAAGGCTGGGAGAAAGCTGCACTTCACATTGATTGCTTCTTTTTTCTTAGGTGATAATTGAAGCAATTTTCCCAATATTCTTAGTGACCCTGCTCTCTTCTCACTGGTGACAGGACAAGGGGAAATGTGCCAGAGGAGGTTTAGGTTGGGTATCAGGAAAAACTTCTTTACAGAAAGGGTTGTTAAGCATTGGAATGGGCTCCCCAGGGAGGTAGTTGAGTCACCATCCCTGAATACATTTAAGATCTGTCTGATGCGGTGCTCAGGGACGTGATTTAGTGCAGGGCTGTTAGAGTGTGGGCAGTATGGTTAGGTTGTGGTTGGACTTGATGATCTTTAAGGTCTTTTCCAACCTGAGCAATTCTGTGATTTTAAGTGCTTTTGTTACCTGATCATGACTAATTTCAAGAAAATGATGTCACCCTGTGACCTCACAGCAGAACACGCAGTGCCACGCTGCTCAGACCAAGCCCAGCCCTTGTTAGCAGCAGTCACAGGAGGGTACCATTTAATTGCAGCTCTCAGAGGCAGGCCTGAAGACTACTGAAAGCTCCAGGCTGCAGTGGTGAATGATTAGAAAATCACTCTGTTTAACCACTGTGACTGGAAATACTTTCATTCACGCTAAATGCCAGTAGTGTAAATTAATCCTGCTTACACTACGTTTGCGTTCAGGTTTCCTAAAGCAGCAAGCACACAAGTGTAACTTCAGGCACTTGGTACAGTCAACATGCTTACCTTTCCACAGCACGAATCATGGCATGAGTGCTCATAGTTTGTAGCATATGGCTGAAAGCATTTTGAAGCTTCCAGGGGTGCTCAGAATAACCTACTATATGATGGTATTTTTGGATGCACATATGACAAGGGTATTTAGCATCTTTATAAGGTAAAGTTGGCTGGAATGTGTAACAATGTTAGACTTCTGCTAAGCAGAATAAATTCAATTTAAACATACTAAAAATACAGAAGAAAAAAAAAAAAAACAAAACAAGAAGGAATCTATTAGCAAAATAGATTTAAACTCTAAGTGGAGTCCAGCAATAAAATAAATCTTAATCCTGTCCCCGCCCTCCAATGGACTCTTTAATTGATTTTTCTTTCTCATATTCCTTCCCAGCAGGACAACATCAACTCACAGCTGCTCAGCAGCAATGAAAACAAGGTGAGCTCTAACTTTCTGAAATGACCCTTACCCGTGCTAAAAGGGTAAAACCAGCATCTGTGAGCTGTGAACATCTTGCAGCTTCCAAAATCCTGAAAAAGTTGGAAATGGTAAAGCAAAACATTAATTCAGGGGAAAGCAAGTGTATTTGAGATAGAGGTCTGTTGTATGCAACTCAAAAGCTCTTAACAGCAAAGGCACATGCCTATTTTTCACACTGATTGGCAATTAAAAAGCACTGGGCAGACTCTGGATCCAGCTCATCAGAAGATTCTAATAGACAGAGAACAGGATCAAGTGCAATCCTCAAACCTTCTCAACATTTAGTGAAAAACAGTGTACATAATTACAGGCAATATTAACCTCTTCAGTGAGTTTTCTCAAGAGTTATCAGAAGAACCGTGTGGGAGAATATATCCTGAGTTAAGAAAACACAGGTAAAGATCCTATCTAAAATTCCTGTCATTTAAATGCACAAAGCTGGGAAGCCACCAAACTGAGACACCACTCAGTATCAGAGCCTGTGTGCAAAGCACTGTACAGCAACCTACTAGAGGATGAAGAGCTTAACCCCTCAAAGCCCAGAACAAAAACCAAGAAACTACACCACCACCACTTAAGAGAAAATAACACTGTCAGCTAATCTGAGAATCACCTAGGATGCCATTTAGGACAAAGGAAGACAAAAGGAAAAAGCAAACAAAGAAAACCAACAAACCCACAAAATCACAAAACAGATAGATAAAGGTTCACGCCGTGTTTGTTACCCTTCTTCCTCCTTTCCACATTTAGTTGAGACCTCAACCACATTACACTTCCAACATTAAAGGGTGAGAATAATGACATCTTCACACAGCAGTGAAGACTCTACTTGGAGCACATCTGGTTGAAAAGTTCTGAAGATTAGAGAAGCAGGGGATAAGAAAGCAGAAGACTGTCAGGCTCTTCCTGAAAGAGGGTGTGCACTCAGCCCAAGAAGTCTGCAATTACATTTCCTCTTCCCTTTCAACCCAATTTGTAAAACCATCTGTACCACCTGTCCTTCCATCACACACTCCTCCGCAGTATCACTGCAAAGGCTGAAATGTTCTTTCTGCTGTTCTGCTTCACAGTGGCCGCCTTCCCCCTCGTGGCACAGCCGAGGACCAGCAGCTTTCATAATGAAGGCAGGCTTCCCAACAGGAGTGACTATTTCTAGTTACGAAGATATTATTTTCTAGAGGAAAACAATTCTTGCTACGCTTGTGCTTCCCCTGGAAAGATCTGTGCAATTAATAGTGCTTCAGGCTTTTATTTCCCATAAATAAATGAGCTAGGAATTGAGCTGGGAATTTGAGAGAACTGGAGAAATGAAAAGTCTTTCAATAACAGCACGGCTTTCTTAAGGGACACAGCTGAGTGTGTCAAAAGATAACTTGGCCCCAAGGAGAAGCTCTTGTAATTATGAACGGTAACGTCAGGGAGATCATCACGCCTCAGCTGTCTCAAGGAAAGGTTTTCTGAAGTAACAAAAGCTCTTTTGTCACTCAACAAGCGATAGGAACACTGCACACCAGCACACTGCACACCAGCTTCTGCCATCCCACTGGAAGATCCAAGAACGTGCAAAGATGGAGATAAAACCAATACCCATGTTGTAACTCGCTGCTCTCAGAGTATGTTAGATTCTTACACTTGCAATAAAAAGCACTAAGAAAGTTGGAGAAGAACCAGCTCCTGCTCCTTTATTACCCAAAATGCATCCCTCAGTGCTCTCAGACACTAATGTACTCCACATCAGAGATCAAGACTGCCACAAGGCACTACAAAGCATGGTAAGAATGCATATATAACAAAATCTGTACTGTATGGGAACTGCTGAATCACGGCCTGAAGAACCTCTGATGGCCACCTGAGGCGAGCACTGAGTCAGCCATGGAGCACAGGTGAAGGCAATTCAGCTGTGTGATGGAAGGGCTGGAGCCTGGCTGCACCTCTCCTAGACCCATTTAAGAGCTGACTGCCAGTGGGGAAGGATCTTCTTTGGTGATCCTTCCTTTGGAGTTTCATAGCGAGTCCAGGATACAGGTAAGCATTCTGTCTGTTCTGTTTTGGTATAATAACTGCATAGCCAAATTCTCTGGTATATTTCATAACTATAGCATCTGTACATTTATTGATTATACACTGTACATATAATATTCAGGTGTAACTTACCTATCTTTTGCAATATGAATGATTGCATAAAACCAAAAATATCACAAGATATACCACAACTACAGACACTTTCACCTTACAAAAAAAGTAGTAGGCCTTATCTTTTTCTCACTTGGTTCATAATGTTCAGCTGAAGAACTGAACTTACAGAATCTACATGTTTATTTGTCATATGTTTATTCTTTTTTTTCCTGTATATGATAGACTGTATTTCTTCTATAGCTGCACTGAGGACCAGCCTTTTAGTTTAGATTCAGCTGATACCTCTAACTAATTTCACTGTAGAGGTAATGCAGAGCTAAACCAAACTCATGCATATCAGCTGGTATCTGAAGAAGTGAAGCTGATAGACCAGGTCAGTAACAACAGGACACACACACAACATGCTCATGAGATACTCACTTCAGCCTTGGGCAGTTTAGACCAAGTGCTGTGAGAGAAGCATCTGTAAGGTTGCAACAGCCCGAAACACACAGTGACTGAAGTCTATGGCATCCTCTACAGATTTTTACAATACCTTCATCTGAAATTTGCTGCAACACAGAAGAAGTTGAAATTGCTCTGTTATTCAGTTGTCTGACAGGAATGAAAATCTAGTCATATTTCTGGACTTTTTGTCACCCTGTATATAACCATGGACAGCCTGTAAACTTTCAATCAAAAATGCCATTAGGATAACTTACTGGCAATGTTGAGAATAAAATCAACATAGATGATTCTTCCTTCTCTCTGCATTTTTCCAAACACAGACTACTGTTCAAATGCCATCTCAAGAACAGAAGCAGACTTCTTTCTTCTTGTTTCTCTTTTAATTTGCATTTGCTTTACAGTTTTCATATAACACTTTTTTTTTTTCCTAAATGTAGTTGCCATTATGTGAAACATCTCACTCCTGTTCAACAGCAGGAGAACCACAACTACAAAATCTATTTTACACTCAACAGTAGAAATCATTCATCTACACTTAAGACTCAAAGAATGGAGTTTTTCCATTTCTCAAAACTCTTCCATAGTTGGCAGACTGAAAAAAAATAAGAAGCCTTTCTCAATCTGGAAGATAAAGACAACAAACTCTGAAAAAGGCAGCAATCCCAGGTAGTCTCAACACAGCTGTGCATAAAACAGCAACAGGAACTACATTCTTGGATGCATGTGCAAATATTTGTTTATTTACAGGTAATCTGTTTTGGAAAAAGTGTTCCTTCCTCCACTCGTTCCTATTCCAAGAACTTAATTTTTCTGCTGAACAGCTAATCCTTCATGCTGAGGCAAGTCTTATCTCCTGGACTAAGATTATTCTTGCAACAGTAACAAGGTCCTCTACCATATTTCAAATTAAAAGTACACACTTCTTTCATAGGCCTCCCACCTAGGTATGCTAACACTACTATAGCATATTTGCTCGAATCACTACCACAAACATCACCTTTTAAGGTGATGTAAACAGGATGGGAAACTGCAGTTGAGCACAAAAGGTTATCACCTTATGTTCCTCCCCCCAAACATTTCAGTATCAGTAGTTTAAATTTGCAAACTTTTCTCTCAAATGAAGACAGAAAATTAGATTTCTTCTCATTGTGGGTCCAGAAAAACTTGCATCAGCTACAAAGATAAGTTTTGATTAATAATACTCATTATTAATAGTCCAATATAAACCAACTATTTTTTGGCTTTGATTCTCCCAGAATATGGTATTTTTTGTTTCCTTTGAGATACATTCATGACATAATTATTGAGTAAACAATCTACTTCATAGGTAGGGACCATGCAGAACCTTACGCTGCTGCTGGAGATGGAGCAAAAACTTTAAGTTACATACAGGAATATACTGAGACTGTTATTTCAATCCCTCTTAAGAAAGAAAAGTGGCCAGAAATGCCTGCAAGTCCCCAGCTTCTACATTCCAGAAATGGGACCTTATAGATGCAGTTTCCAGAGGTAGTGTCAGTTCACTTTGCAGCTACTGGACTTTGCCTGTCATTTCAAGAGGTCTATAAAACAAAGCTGCTAGAATTGAAGTATGGATCATATGAAGTACAGGGAGACCTACTATGTAAAATCAGTGGGAGCCCTTTAATCACGAAGAGCTTGGCTGCTTCTGGAAGCACACTTCCAAGCCCAGCAAGCAGAACATACTTGCTGAAATCGGCTTCAAAGCACACCCAAATAAGTAGGACATACATGCTAGCAACTCAAAAATTCAAAGGGACAATTTTTTTCACTTGTGATTTTTGAGGCTTGTCTATTTATACGTATTTTTAATATGTAGGATCCTCACCTGGGGAGGAACAACCAGACACATCAGTACAGGCGAGGGGCTGACCTGCTGAAAAGAAGCTGTGCAGAGAAGGATCTGGGTGACCTGGTGTACAGCAGCTTGGCCATGAGCCAGCAGTGAGCCTGTGCCAAGGAGGCCAATGGTGCATTAAGAACAGTGTGTCAAGGGAGGTGATTCACAACTCTGCCCTGGGGGGGCCACATCTGGAGTACTGTGTCCAGGTCTGAGCTCCTCAGTTCCAAAAAGATGGGGAATTTGTAGTGAGAGTCCAGTAGAGGGTCACAAAGATGACAAAGAGCATGGAGCAACTTACTTTAGAGGAAAGGCTGGAAGACCTGGGGCTGCTCAGCCTGGAGAAGAGAAGGCTGACGGGTCATCTTAATAATGATTATAAATATCTGCAGGGTAGGTGTCAAGACAGGCCAGGCTCCTTTTGTTGGTGCCCAGCAACAGGATAAGGGACAACGAGCACAAACTGGAACATGGGAACTCCCATATGAACACGAAGAAAAACTTACTGGGAGGGTTACAGAGAACTGAACAGGCTGCTCAGGGAGGCTGTGAAATCTCCTTCTCTGGAGACATTCAAAACCCAACTGGACACTGTTCTGTGTTACCTCCTATGGGGAATCTGCTTTAGCATGATTGGACTGGATGACATCCTGAGGTCCTTCCAAATCCCTATGATTGTCATCTATGTGACAACAAATATAGCAAACAAAAAATAGTCCTATGAAGCATAAACTGAGGAAACGTTTCGGTGCTTGAACTCATGCAGATTTTATGGCATGTTCCAGCAATAAAACTGTAAGCAACTTTCCAAAAGGAAAAAATCTAACATTTTAATTATTTGAAGGTGCTTGACAAAGGCCCTAATACTCAATTTATTTCAAACTTTTCTAAAGATTATTTATAGCTGAGCAGTGATTTAACTACATTTCAAGCCTACAAGATCTATCTCGCTCCCAAAAAGTTAAATCAGAAATAAAACAAAGCAGATGTAATACAGCAAACCTAAATTGTATGTACTGTAAGTACAATTTAATAAACATGAATGATTCCCCTTTATTTCGTCAGAAATGAAGGTCATCTTCCATTGCTGTTGAAAAAAGCATGTCCTTCTGCTATTTAGATGGTTCTGAATCATTTCCCAGTATGATGCCAATAGATTTCTACTCTCCATTATGTAGCCCACAATATGGCTTCTGCTCAATTAGAAATCTTAACATTATGAATGGATCAAAACGTTTGACCTTAACAGATGGGAGAACAAGAATTACATCTGTGACACTGCATGTCTTAGTACACACAATTCATGAGAGTTGAATGCATGCAGTTAATTCTTACTCAGGAGCTTGCTACAGTCAAAAGACAGAATGATGAGAAAACCCATTATAAATCCACACTTGGCTGTGGAACTGCCAGCATGCTCCACAAGATATCTATTATACACAAAATTAACTAAACTGCAGACATATACTATTAGAATTATTTAAGTGTGTCATTCATTAGCATTTGGAAATGGTCTAAGATTCCTAGAGAATGTATCTTTTGAAGTACCAAATACTTACTGTGCAGGACTGCAAGTTCAGGATTGCAAGCTCATGACAGTGATTTTGAATGTGTTTCAATGCTTCATCTTCTAACTGTATCAGCAATTAAATTGGACAAAGGAAAAGAAACAAGAAATTATAAGCAAACTGAAGCAATGTATATATCTTGTAATACTGAACAAAAGACTACAACAAAAACAATACACTTTTTAAATTCATGGATTTCAAAAAGTCAAAAGAAAAATTTTATTCCTAAAGGATCACCCAAGCAGTTATGTACCTGTGTGCAACCTCTAAGAAATAGAGCTTTTAGTCCACTACACCCTTTCACCAGTGCTTCAATACCATCCTTCGTAATCTGATCACACCAGGAAAGATTCAAATGTTCCAGATTTCTGCAACCCTCACTGGGAGAATTAGAAAAATACATAAAGTTAAATCCAGCCTTCAAATAGTCATAACAGTGGGAAACCCAAATTAAACACACTGTTAGAAATTAATGATAGCCAGCAGACCGTGCCAGGCCTCCACAGAAAAGTCAAGAGAAAAGACCACACACAAACATCATTGTCTACACCCAAGAAGTTCTAGATATAAGATACAGCCAGTGCTGATGCACAGTATTAAGGTTCAGCACTGTGGTTTTGTCTTAAAACTTTATTATATATTGAACAGTTCTTTAAATTCTTTTCTTTAACACAAAACACTACATCTTCTTACCTTAAACCTTTCAAAGAGCTGTTTGTGATGGCTACACAAGATGTCAGATCCAGATGTTTCAGCTTGGAACAGAATCTGCTAAGACTGTAACACGTGCTGCAAAACAGCAGACACACTAAAAATACCTTCAGCTACTTCTTTTTCCAAATTTCACCATCAAACAGAAAAAACCTTCGACTTACCTGTCAGTGATTTTTGTGCACCCGTTCAAATTTAAGTGTTCGATGTTTCTACAGTTCTGTGCAAAGGTCCTAAAACCAACAAAAAGCTGGAGAATTACTACAATGCCAGAAGTTATGATTCAGTCACTAGAGTGCGCTCTGTCCTGTAACTCCTCATCTCAGCCAAAAAACTCCATCTTCAAGCCATACAGTAGAACATCTGTTCCAGTGATTGACTTTTTATTTTGCTACTCAAGGCTCTGTCTTGGGTAACTCCAGAAACTAAGTGTTGTTCCTCCCTCAAATACCACTTGAGAAAGGTGTTTATTTCTGCCATTAAGCAGAACTGATTTGCTTCAAATGCCTTAACTGAAATCATTAAAGGAATGAATACAAAGGTTGAAATGGCACATCAGATACTTCCTAAGCACAGTTAAGGTGCTGGGAAGAGTTGTTACACATTTCATTACTGAAGCTTTTGTAGGTACCATTAAGGAACTCACTCCCACATCAAACAGAAAGAACATGCCTTGCACAACACAGAAGTGGGATCTAGTCTACTTGGACTACTAAGGGAAAGCCCTGCGGGCTCTAAATTAGTTATTTATTATTTTAAAAATTAAAATGCATCTGTGTGCACCACTGGGTATGCACGCTAAAGATGATTACAGCTATTACACCACTAAAAGCCTGTATATATCATTAAACTAATTACCCAGAAAAAAAAAAAAAAAGCATCAACTTTCTTTTCATCTTTTCAGAGTAATGTTTACAGCTGCACTGCATTTCAGAACACTGTTTTTATGCCCGCGTTTCCTCCAACTGCATGGATTTTATTGGCAGGGGTGGAGGAAACACACAAAAACATTTTTGTCTGGAGGCCTGCAGTGGTTAACAGATCCGACTACACACTCAGCTGGTAACAGCTTCCTGGCTCTCCTGTGTGGACTGAAAACAATGGAAAAAAAAACAACAGAATCAGCAGCAGTTAGACTGGTGATAGTTTCCACTTGAATACTTAAAACAGCTATTCCAAAATTCACATACTGGAGTGAAATTTGCAATCGAGACACTCTTCAAATCACTTGAAAAGACACTATGCTCTGTAATAACTTGCATTAACAGCCTGTGAGATTCAAGCAGGGATGTGTCTGTGCACAGATGCCACGAACATTCAGCACCTGCACAGCCAAAGCCTACTTTGATTTCTGCCTGTTTTTAAATGAAATACGGATGCAGAAGAAGGAAAAAATGGATAATTCATATCACTCCCAGAAATACTGAAAGGGTCCTGATAAGACTCATCTTAATGTTTTGAAACTTTTAAAGCTCACACGTTTGCCATTCAGTGGTTAATTGCAATACCACCTGCTTGTAAATGCCTCAGACACAGCCACCTACACCAGTTATTACAGATGCACTTGTGCATAGTGCCAACAGCCCAGCAGCTGTCTCTGCTAACCCTGCCCAATTTCCTGTTGGCACAACTAGCCCCACCGACCCATTGATGCACACAGGCTGCACGCTCAACTGCTAAATTACTCTAAATATGTCTTTACTAAATATACTGCCATTCAAATACATCACAACCCCAGTCCTCTTCTCAGACACCATTAGTACCTGAATCAACATGTATGTACTGGTTCTACTCACTGCAGTCCCCTAGCCTTAGAGTTCTGATTAGTACTCATGAGCCTAAACTGAATATTAAAGTTAAGGGGAAGGTGGGTGAAGAGCAAAATTTTCTGCTTACTGTCATCTTTCCTCCTTATACCTTTCTTATTTCTTTCCTATCTATCCCTCAGTTTGAGCCCCTCTCCAAATATGCCTTCCCCTTCTCTTCTATTTCCAGACTTTCCCTACTGAGGACACAAGGGTCATCTACATGTATGCTCCGGAATCTTGCAGGGATGCTGCAGAAAGTTAACTATGGTTGAGGCTATTTCTTTTTCTATAAGAGCAGTTGCCAGTCATCTGGAAAGGAAATGGTAACACACACTTTCCTCTGAGGAGACAACACTGTTTGAAGGTGGCAAAACCCCATGGAGCAGTTAGGGAGATGTCCTGCAAGGACTCCTGGGCCTGGCCTACAAGGAAACCTCTGGGTCTGAAGTCAGGATGCCTGCCTGGGTTACTAAAGCAATTTATTATTTAACTAGCAGCTGGATTCAGAGGACCACAACTCTGTCAGGAGTATCCTTTTCTTGTATTAGCAAAATGGATGTGAAGAATTAATTCCACAGATACAATAACACACCTATAATTTTAATACTGGATTAGATTCTAGATTTTTAGCAATGTGTAAGACAAATCTAGGAAGACTGAGAAAACAGAAAAAAGATTGTTTAGAACGGGTCAACATAACATTTCTAGTTGTTTTGTTTTGTTTTGTTTTTTAACCAAATTTATGGCCCACAGCTAATCAGGGTCCCATTCCAAATCTCAGTATTTCCTATCTCAGTTATGTCACCAATACTTTACATGGTTTTGTCATTGGCTGGTTTTCTTTCTGTTTTTTTTTTGTTTTGTTTTTAAGAAAAAAAAAAGCCTTTAAACTTCTACAGGGAGAAACACTCTGCCTCAGACTACGCACCAGAAATGCTCATGAATTTGCTCTGAAGCAAATTCAATGAATTAGACTTGCTCACGAGTTTTAGAAAGAGGTCACGAGGCACTAAAAAAATGCCACTGTTTAACTCAAATCTTTATGCTTTTATCTTCCACAAAAAAGCAGCCACACTAAGTCAGACTGAACATCACCTAGCCCAGTCTGCTGCGACAGTGAGGAAAGAGCAACAGCTGCCAAGAAGTTGTATCCTGAGCTTGGCTCCCAGTATTCTGAGTCCTCAAGGACTTGTCAAACAGGGGCCCTTCAGCTGGAGGTAAGATCTGTGGGTTAAATCAACAAAGAAACACCCACAGAGGAATCTGGATAATCAGTCTGAATATAGAAAAAGCTTACAGGGATTCAAAGTTTCTTGTGAGAACAAGCTGCACCATTCAATTTATATACTGCATAAAGAAGGGCCAGCTTCCCTAAGATGCTTGTGTTGCCTGTTTGTTCTTTATTTTACATCACAGAAAGAAGAGAATCCCATACCCTTCCCAATTTGGCAGGCACCAGTCTTTAGTTTTTCTCCCATTGCTGGGACCACTCTCATGTCTAAAAAAGATGAATTATAATCTGGCTACTGATCCTGATGAAATTATATCGGCAGCTTGCCAAAGTATAAACCTGAAAACATTTAAAATGCTTGAAAAGTGAGAGAAAAGAAAAATTTTAATTCATTTCTAAGGGAAAAAAAAAAAAAAAATTAGCTATATTTTATTCTCAAACTGATGGCTCATTTAGTCACTGCTACGGTACTTAGTACTTACTTAAGTGTCCCATTTTGACCATCAGAAGGTACATAAAATCCAAACAGATCTACCAATAATTACTTATTTCCTAATATTTGGAACAAAAGCAATGTCTTAGCCTAGGACTTTACTTACTTTAAGGAGGAGTCTCCAACAACGTGACATCCTCTCAGACTAAGTTGTCTCAGGAACCCACCGCACCTTTTCGATATATTTTCCACAACACGACCCTTAAACCAAATAAAAGGAAGATTTTGTTGAGTTTTATTCTGACATAACATTCTTAGCAACTTAAAAATCCCAACAGAAACGTATCTCTTTGAAATTCCTTTTCTACTTTAAGAAAAAGAGTTACCTGATGAGAGAAGTGCTGTTCACTTCAATCTTTAGTTCTCTTTCTGAGTCTACCATATGTAGCTCAATTTTTTGCCTCAGCAATACCTTACCCATTAAGATTGCTGTCAATTTTGCAAGAAGTCTGCAGAACTGCCCAGAAGCAGAACAGGAGGCATCCTGTTCCTCAAGGACTGGTTGTTACTCCAGCACACAAGGTTACATTATCCACAGATACATGTTTAGGATAGCGTGACACTACACTGAGCTACAGCCTCTCGTAAGTCTTGTTTTACAGAATGGCTTGGGTTGGATGGGACCTCAAGGATCATGAACTTTCAATCCTCCTGCCACAGGCAAGGCCATCAACCTCCAGTTTAGGTACTAGACCACGTTGCCCAGGGTCCCATCCAACCTGGCCTTGAACACCTCCAGGGAGAGGGCATCCACAGCCTCTCTGGGCAGCTGTTCCAGCACCTCACCAGTTTCACATTAAAGAACTTCCCTCTGACATACAATCCAAATCTTCTCTCCTTGAGCTTAAAACAATTCCCCCTTATCCCATCACTGTCTACCCTCATAAGAAGTTGATTCCTCTCCTGTTTATAAACCCCTTTATAAACAGAAGGCTGCAATGAGATCTCCAGACAGCTTTCTCTTCTCCAGGCTGAACAAGCCCAGTTCCCTAAGCCTGTCCCCGAAGGGAAGGTGCTCCAGCCCTCTGCTCATGTTCATGGCCCTGCTCTGGACCCTCTCCAACAGCTCCACATCTGGAGGCCCCAGACCTGGACACAGTACTCGAGTACTTCAACCGCATCCAGAAGATTTGCCAGAGACTACCTGCTAGCTTTCAAAGTTGTATTTATTTGCATGTCTGTTCCTACCATTTAGAAATGATACTTTTCACACTGTGTAGCACAGTTTACAAACAAAACTTCCTAATTGACCCCACTTGCTATAAAATTCTATTTATTTACATCTTGAAAGCATTTTGCTATGTAATAGGAGCAAGCAGAATGGTACAGTACTTCTAGTATTCTAAGCTCAAAGTGTAGCACTATTGAAAATATGTTATTTAAATTGTGGTACATAATATGCACCCTTCTTTTAATTTTTTTGACAGTCAGAATAAGATGACAGACCAAAAAGCACTGCAACAACTGACTAGACATCATACGGTGTCTACGTTTAGAAAGATAAAAGTAAAAATAAATCAACACTGATCATCTAACAAACAGGACCACTACATACCCAACAGAACCTTCTATCTTCTTCTCTTTTATTTTACATATAGAAACTTACAAAATTATAGAGCAGTGAATTTTTATTTTTATTTCTTCTCTATATGCAGTGGTGGCATTTTCACAGCATCAGTAAAGACATTTCTTGTATTTTGTTATTCTCCTGCAATACTGAACTCTCGATGAAAACATTTTTATCAGCACTTGTTTGTTAAGTCAGTAGGTAACTGGTCACCTCCTCTCTCAAACACATTTACATCAAAACAAACCAAAGATCATTACACACTTCATGAAATTACATGGTTTTTTAGAGTTCTCCAATCACTCAGAACTATTTCTCACAAGAGGGCATGTACCTTTACTTTAAGGATAAAGTCTTCTCAACAAGTTACATATAATGGAGGCTCAATAATGGAGGGGGGGGATCCAAAATCTAATTATTCAAAGCAAATTGAAATAAATAATGACATACGGTTTCTCATATCCATTTATTAATTGAAGCATGTTAAAAGCCCACCAAAACAGTGTATTAAAAAGGACAAGTACATTAAAATGTGTTCAGGTATTTGAATAAGATAGTGTCACTCAAAAACTAGTTCTTCAAACTACTTCAGCTTGTATTTGGTACCACAGACCCACAAATCCTAAGGTTCATTTAACTTTAGGAAGATTTTCACACAACTTTGTGGAAGGAAAAAAAATTCCTTTATGGTACAGAAATACATTTTTCTTGGCTTGTTCTACATCATCCAAGACTTCAAAAAGGGAAAAATATACCACAAAACATGACTTTCCATTATCCGACAGTTTCAGATCAAGTACTGCTTGACGTTATGTGAAACATCATCAAACAGTACAACAACTAATGGAGCTTTTAAAAAGCTGCCATATGCACCTGTCCTGGAGTCTGACAAAAAAACCCACATTACTAAAACAGCTTAAAGCAAAACAAAACACACTGTAAGATATGGTTTAGTAGTCTGTGGTAGCAATGGTGACAGGAGGACAGCTCTAGATTGGACTAGATGATCTTGAAGGTCCTTTCTAACCTTGTGATTCTATGATGCTAAAACAGGTCTTTAATACTGAAAGTGAACGCATAACTCATTCAAAACTAATTCATGCAGTAATCATTGGTTTAAGTTACAAATAAATTTTAAGAATTTGTATTACAAATGTACTTAAATACAATATACTGAGGTAATCAAATGTCTCAAAAGCTTACAGAAAAATAGGATCATAACTTAATTTCATTCACTCTCCTTTATACCAGGCCAGAAATACATCTGAAAGGACAATGCCATTAGGTACAATAAAGACAAATTCAGCATAAACATAGCAAAAAGACTCCAGAAAAAAGCTGGCCAAGAGAAAAGCCACCAGTCTGGTGGGCTTCACTTTTTATTTCTTAGCAAATGAGAAACACAAGTTTGTATTTTTTTTAAAGGCAAGTGAAAAAGATGACATTAGAGCCCCAAAACATCTTAAAACACTTACAGATTCCAAAAATCTTTCTCCTACCTCTGCCAGATACTCATATTTAATATCTGTATAGCAGAGGAGCTGGAAATAAAATTTTAAGAAAACAGTGAGGAATTTTACTCTTTGTTACTGTAAAGCTTCAGGAATTCTTTGAAATAGGGTTTGCAAAATATACCAAATGACCCCCATCTGGATTTTACTTATGCAGTTAAAACTTTAGCACAAAAATTCAGAAGCAAATTCATTATTGTATTCTAAGCTTCATTTCAATTACCAAATACAAATAATGAATGAATTTAATTTATATTAAGGAACTGTATTTCCCATGGGTTTTAGTCTTCATTTTGCAATATCATAATTTATTTTTTTATGCACATCTATGATAACGTGTATGCACATGTTTGTTTTTTTTTTTCTTATGGAACATAAGACTGCCCTAATTGCTTCACTATATGTTGTATGGGAACTGCTGAATCACAGCCTGAGCCTCTGGTTGACCACCTGAGGCGAGCACTGAGTCAGCCATGGAGCACAGGTGAAGGCGATTCAGCTGTGTGATGGAAGGAGTGGAGCCTGGCTGCACCTCTCCTAGACCCATTTAAGGGCTGATTGCCAGTGGGGAAGGGTCTCTTCTGGAGTTCTCTCCTCTAGAGTTTTGCAGTGAGCCCAGGATACAGGTAAGCTTTCTATCTATTCTCTTTTGTTATTATGATCTGCTTAGCCAAACTCTCTTGTTTATTTCATAATTCTAATATCTTTATATTCATTGATTATACATTTGCTGAAAAGGATTTTAATCTGCATGAACCTACATCTCAGTAATTTCTTTTCACTCAAGCCACAGGAAAGAAGCATTGATGAAATGTACAAAGGTCCACAGCACAGCAAATCCAGGCCAAGTCAGGGAAGTAAGGGAAGATTTTTACCATTTTGTTGTTTCAGTTTATGTCTGAAGACAAGCACTCAGAGAGCTTCTAGCACTAGATGGCACTCTCACAGAGACCAGAGACAAGCAACAGAATCTTCCTACAAGGCCATCAGTAACTGTGAGCATCTCATTCAGTTCAGAGACACTGCTCATACCTTTGTTTTCTGGAAATGATCAGTTCTGAATTTGTTGAACTCTGCGTATATACAATATATGCCAAGTATCTGATACATTGCTTCCAAGCAAAACTCAAAAAAACATCATCAGTGTTTTAAAAAAAAAAAAAAAAAGCCAAACACAGAGTTGACCATTCACTCCTTTACTGCTTTATTATCCTGAGCTTTAGTCTTTAAAATGTGAACTCAGAGAATCTATGAGGTACTTAAGCATCACCAGAGGAATGAAACAAACAAGGACACTAACCTCTATATCTGTCTGAAAGTTAAAAAGGTCTATTCTTTGCCAATTGCTTCCATCCAGAGCTAAAACATTCCATGCCTACAGGAAACAAATAAGAGTTATACATCTCCAATGCCTGCTCCCTTTTGTTTTCCTCTCAGCAATTCCAATACAACAAACTCTCAAATACAAATTTGGGTAGCACTCTTTAAAAAACAAATGTAATAGCAGATATTAGTAACAAAATATTAACTAGTTAAAACCAGAACACTTGTTTAAATTAACCTCAACTCTCCTAAGTGGATTACATTTCAGAGTCTTATACCTATAAAATGTATAAAAGCAAGAAATGAAATGCAAAACACATACATAGCATGATTTAACTAGATATATATGGAGAGAAAAGCAAATGCACATAAGACTCCTTCCAAGAAAACCATAGTTCCTCAACCTCACAAGTTACTCTGTGAGGAAAATAAGCCTTTCAGAACATTGCTGACTTTCCACTGTTGGGATCAGGCCTTTCCATGTGCTGAGTTTACATACACACTTGATAATTGCTTCTTCATTGTTAGAGCAGTCCCTCAAAGCAAAACAAAGTAAAAAGGTAGAAAAACAAGAACATACTCAGAAAAACAGGAATAAAGAATATTGCATCCAACTGACATAGTTCTGAGAGAAAACAAAACAAGGATTTATTAATTTGCCTTGTTTTTCTTCAGATGTGTTCTAGGCTTTGACTTAAAGTTCTTACAAATCCTGATGTTAGTTAGCTCAGAACTTATTGAAGCTGCAAGCTAGAATAATACAGGTCTGGGAATTTAGTAGTTACACAATTATAGATTAAAACAAATAAAAGGAAGAAAGAAAGGCTTCTTCTGCGTTACAAGAATGAAGAATGATGTGGAAAGTTCATTCATGTTGTAGAAGAAAACACTTCACCACATATTTCATGTAGTAGCAGAATGCTTTTCATGTTAATTCAAAATAAAAGTAAGATTAGCTAAACATAAAAGCTTACTTGGCATGCTTTCTCTATTACCTTCTGTGTGCATTTCTTCTCTACTGGTAGTCCATTTACTTAACACCTTTTGTATTTGGCAAGCAAATGATGGATGTACTTAAGACACGTGGTGCACGTTAACTGAGCTACATGGAATTTTAAGCAGAATGTGTCTGACAAATACTGTTATACAGCCACGTGTTTAATAAAAAGCAAATGCCACTATGCCAAAATGGGTTTAATCCCTTCTCCAGATATAGAGCACACACTACTGGATATCTTTTCCATAGCCTTTAAAAAGAAATCCAGTCCATAGCAACTAATTTAGCATATCTGAACACAAAACTGGAACAACAGTTTTTTTGTTTTAAGATGTTGAGAGAAATACTTGATATTCTTATTTTTTAAACAGGAAGACCATCTGAAAGCCCATGATTTGCAAACAATTTAGAGCTTCCCAAAGAACAACAACAACAATAGAAACACATACCTTGGAAACTTGTGCACATCGACACAAAGTAACTATGTCCAAGAAAGAAAATATTCTAGAAGGAAAAACAATAAGAACATTTTCATTATTAATTCAAACTAACTTATGAATTCCCTGTTTACATATTTCTATGGAAGAAATCACCTGTTAGACAACAACAAATTTAAATTAAACAAAAGCATTCTATTTCAGTTATTCAGAGTGAAGGAGTAACCCCATACCCATCATGTTGAGACAGCCAACATCTACATAACAGGATCAATTTCAACAAAATCTATTTTAAATTTTCCCTGCTTTATTTCCCAAACACGTATGAATAACAAAATACTTTATTGCTTATAATTCAGAGAAACTGATCTATATACCTTTAATTGTGATACAGTTAAAGAAATAACATTTGCAACTATAGGTGAGGATTTAAGAGTCTGGTTTTTGCACTGAAGAGTTAATACTCAGTTTGGTGCTGTGGGTCCAGCTGTGCTTGAATGGACTCCCAACCTTAAAGAACTTGTTCATATCCACTGAGAACTCTTATGACTAGCTTTGTGAACTGTATTCTTTATTGGAGTAACAGAGGAGAGATGCTTTTAAGGTCAGTGATAAATACATTGTCTGCAGAGCATGTGTGAGTATCATTAATATGAATAATAAGCTGACTGCAAATGCGTTACATTATAGAATAACTCTCTATAGAGATTTTTAAGTTTCCTGAGGGAAGCACTTTGTATAACTGAGTATGTAAATCCCAGCCATTCGATGCTCCTAGGGGAGGAAGAGAAGCTCAGCCTGTCAACAGGTCCCACAAGCCAGAGGTATTCTCCTGCTTTGTCTGCAATTGTATCTTCCCCAAACACTTGATCTTTAAGGCCACTTTAATGCTATTTTCCTTCTTTGGGGTGGAACTTGAGTGATTATAATCATATGTAGCTTTGTTGCAATTGGTGCAAACAAAGACTGAAAAGCTGCTGTGAATGGCTACTGTACAGTTTACCAGTTCCACAGTACCACCAAGTTCCCATCTCTGCAATTCTGACACACAGCCTGGTTGTGGAGTTTTACACTTCACTTTTGTGCTCTCTCTCTTAAGAGTCAGCATACTGAGCTCCCTGGTGCTGTTAACAAGCTGATGTTTCCTTGTCTTGTGTTGCTTAGTGAACTGTCATGGAACAGACATATGCAAACAGACTTTGCATATTCACTGCATTCCACAGCAGAGGTTTCTTCAAGGCTTTTCTCAAGGGAGGTATATTCCAACACATCACTTCCAATAATTATTCCACGTATTTCATTCTGAGACATAGTCATTCACACTTCACAAATATTTAGAAAGAACTGGGGAAGTCATACGCGGCCTCATTAAGAGGATTAAATCCTCAAGGGCTCTTGGGCTGCTCGCTATTTACAGAGTAAAACTATTAGGTTAAACTATTATTATTAGCAGGATGGTGTTGTCATAATCATTAAGATTGGACATGACCTTCAAGATCATCAAGTTCCAACTTCCGACACATCATCACTATGCCCACTAACCACGTCCTTAAATGTCACACCTACATGTTTCTTGAAAGCCCCCAGGGATGGTGCCTCTGCCATCTCCCTGGGCAGCCTTTCCAATACTGTATCAGTCTTCTGCAGAAGAAATGTTTCCTAATATCCAACCTGAACCTCCCCTAGTGCAACTTGAAGTCAGTGCCTTACTTACCAGGGAGAAGAAACCAATCCCCACCTTGCTGCAACTTCCTTTCAGGTAGTTTTGGAGAGTGTTGAGGTCTCCCCTGAACCTCCTCTTCTCCAGACTAAGCAATCTCAGTTCCCTCAGCCACTCATTTTAAGACTTGAGCTCCAGACCCTTCAACAGCTTTGTTGCCCTTCTCTGGACACGCTCCAGGGCCTTGATGTCCTTCTTGTAATGAGGGACTTAAAACTGAACACAGCACTCTAAGCGTGGCTTCACCAGTGCCAAATACAGTAGAACAATCACTTCCATAGTCCCACTAGCCACGCTACTTCTGATATAAGCAAGCACAGCGTTGGCCTTCCCGGCCACCTGGGACAATGCTGACTCAAGATCAGCTAGCACTGAACATAGAGAAGGGAAATAACACACTGATAAACGTAAGTTCAAGAATCTAAGTGCTAACACAAAGCATGGTGACTCAGATTTCCAAAAGGCTATGTCACAATACCTAGCAACTCTTACATCGTCAGTGTATTATTTTAATTCACTTTACAAGAAGCAAGAAAGATTACAATTCAAAATCTAGCATTACTCTTTCAAACACTGAATTGATTCTTCACGACTGGCAACTTTTAATAGTTTTCTAAAATAAAAGTTTCATTGTCAAAACAAATTTTTGCAAAATACCATTTTCAAGCAACAACAGAGCCATTTCAAAGGATGTTCTCAGGAAATAAAATACACTAGCTTAAGCGTAAAATACAGATCCCATTCCAAAATCCTTTTCTTTTGCAGAGAACGAAAGATGTTTCTATAATTCACATATAAACTACCACTTGACATTTTCAGTCATCAAAGAACTGAACAGTAATAATAACAATTCCATCTTATATCAAATATTAACGCCAAGGAGTAAACATCAGCAGTATAACAGACATGGTTATCTTAAGTTTACAGAAGCTGAAGCACAAAAGACATCTTGAAATTGTTTCTAATGAAGACAAGAAGGACTGTGACAAACCATCTCGTGACTCCATATTCTTGCCTAAAGAAAGCACACAGCATGCTTTGGAAGTGATGCAAGTTCTGCTGGAAGTAAGAAATAACAGAAGGAATTGAAGATGCTGAAGAAAAGGTATTTTATATATCTCATCTACTGAGTTGTCTAGCAGCTTGTCTTCATGTTTGACTATTTATTACTGTTACAAGATTAATGTTGATGCATGATTTCTGTTGAAAAAGTAGACTGAAACCAAATATGGAACAGATGTATTTATTTTTGCTCCATTCCCTATGAAGTGACTTTTTATCAAAGTAAAAAAAAAAATAGAAGTGATTATTTAAGTTAAAAGGAGAACTATTTTAGTAAGTGTAAAATTCTAGACACTTCTACACTTATTTTTGTTCTAAAAAAGAAACAGTATTGAAATGTGCCTGAAACTGCCCTCCTCAAAATAGGTAATTTAAACAACACTAGGATTCAGCAAATTCAGAATCATTATTATTCAGTTAATAACAGCATAAATAAGAATTACTAGTAAATTATTTTATAATTGCTAAGACTCGTTTTGCCAACTTGTTTCAAAATTTCCACACTGTTCTCCTTTTTTCCCCTCTATAGTATAGTCTTACATGCAAACTTTCAGCCCCACAGAACTCCTAGCACGTCCATACCAGTTAGGAAAACTACCCAACAGGACACAAGACAATAGCATTTTAAAGGCTTTAAAATCCAGCCACAGAACTGAGACAGAGATGGCAACACTGATGTTGTCTGGCACTTATGGTGAAGGGCTATGTTAGCAGGCACTTGTGATTTTAAAATGTGGAAAAAATTACCATGTAGGCCAGCTGATGGTTGTACAGCACATCTGTCCTCTATGACCATAATTATGTAGGTGGAAGCTAATGCAGCCAGCAGCCAGATTCATTTCCACTTAAGTCTTTGGCACAGATTAGTTAAGGAAACTGGAAATGTAACTAGTTAACGGATTCACAGTAAAGTTTAGGATAATCCATACTCACTTCCCGTACCCAAGGTCATTAATTTTTCCTTAGTTATCCTGCATTGCACCCAAGGAAGATAATCTGCTTACCCATAATCAGAGTTCTTCAAGCCTCTTCCTGCCAGGGCATACACCACTCTGGACACATAAATGCCTCATAAGCTTGGCCTTGGAGATCTTTCAATGCTAACAGCACCTGAAGTATGCATGACATTTATGCCAGAGGCACAAAGACTTGCACAAGCTCCCAGTTCCCCAACTCCATTAAGGTAAACTTGTATTTGGCTTAAGCCTGAATTCCAGAAAATGAATATTCTTGATTTGAAAGCCTTCAAGGGATGGAAAATCACCACCTTCTCTGATAGTTTGTTCCACTGGCTAATCACGCTGTTATAATATTTGCCTTATTTCCAAGGTGAATGTCTGACTTTCAGCTTTATGCTTTCCTCTACTTTTCTTCACCAAATTAAAGAGTGCTTTCGCAGTTAGTACTTTCTCCTTATGGAGTTTTAAAATCACTTATCATGTCACCTCCAATTCTTTTTATTTCAGTTCTTTAAATCTCATTTTCTCTGCCCGTTCTTTTCCAGTATGTTTCTTCAAAGACAGACATCTAAAGCAAATGTAGCGTTAAAAAGTTTATTAGTTCCAACAAAGCTGTACACAGACACAAAGCATTATTTTACTGCTCCCATTTTCAGAGCCTTTTTGACAGAGAATCAGACAAGGAACTTACAGTATCTTGTACATCTCACTCTCACATCCTCTACTACGATGACACATCCCCGACCACAGCACTCGATGTGAGAGTGAAATGGGACACTCCTTAGTTCTATATCCCTGCAAAATTAAACTGTAAAATTAATCTTGTTTGAACGTACCACTATTCAATGTCATTCATACTTCCTTGGGAGTGCCTTTTCCTCACATTCATTTTTGTGTCATCTGTAACTCTTAACCTCCAGTGACTTCTTTAAGAGTGATTTCCAAAACATGGAGTAGCAAAAAAAAAGCATTTGGGTCTACCAGCCAGTTACTACAAATGTTAGCCAAATGTGAATCCTTTCAATGTGTACTGATATACTGCACAGGGCTCATTTTAAAATCAAAATGCCAAATGTTAAACTCAAATGCATTTGTAGACGCTTGTAATTTGGGTTGGTAGAGCCAACTGATTGTTTAATCTCAGAGTGATACTGTCTAACCAATTCATCCACAAAATCACAACAACTGTTAATTATATTCCTTTCTTTCTATTTTCTATTAAACAAGTCTACATCAAGTTTTTCCTCTCCATATTGAAAAGGAGGCTGTGTTTTCTGGTCACCTCCCATATATTTCCATACATACTTCATTACTCCCATGTGCTAT